ACTTTGGAGGACCTGGGTTTGATTCCCAGCTCCTCTTCTGACCCCAGCTTTCTGCTAATGCAGACCCTAGGAGGCAGCATCGATGGCTCAAGTACTTCGGTTTTTGCCACCCATGTGGGAGACCTGGATTGCATTTCTGTCTCCTGCCTTCAGCTGTGGTCTTGTTCCAGCTGCTGTCTGTCTGTCCCTCCCCTCCCTGGTTCTGCCTCTCAAGTGTGTAAATCAAAGTGAAGGAAAAAAGAAAATGGCCAAGGCATTCCTCACCAAACCAGCCAGCCCGTTGCATGCCCCACCACCATCCGTTGCTACCGCAGAGCTGCAAAGATCACAGTGTTCCAAAGCTGGGTGCAGGTGGAGGCCACAGGGACTGGGAAGTGAATGTCTTTGTGCCAGGCAGGGGAGCCCATTAGCACCCTCGGAGAGTGCAGTGTCCCCAGCCGAGGGGGCAGAGCCTGTGGCAGGGGGCTGAGTGGGCAACCAAAGAGGCAGCAGGCAAAGGAGGGACGTTCCCAGCTCCAAGCAGCTGGAGCTCACTGGGAGTCAGCAGGGAGAGAGGCGGTGAAGGGCGAGGGACTGTTGCGCCAGAACTGATGATTCTGTCACTGCCTCCTCAGTACTGGGCCCCACATGGCCTCGGTACGCGCATAAGGCACGCACCCTCCTAGCCCGGGCTGAAGCCCTAGGCTGACGGGCCTGGCTGCAGGTCATCCCAGGAGAAGCACACAGACCGGGGACTTGGGCTGGGGTTGGCTCCAAGCCAAAGCCACCCCTGAGAAGGGAGGAAGGGCCCCTCCCCAGATGGGGCCTGATGGGGAGGGGGCCAGGGGCAAGGGTCAGGGTTCTGGAGTCACAGTGGGGCATGGAGCCTGCCAGCACACAGAGGTCGCTTCACAAGTGTCCTCCCTCAGGACTTGGACAGTAGCAGGTGGACTCAGGTTCCACCCATGTCTTTGTCACAATGACCACTACTTGAAGCCATCGCCTGTGACACCTGCATCCCAAATGGGAATGCCAGTTCCAGTGCTTGCTGGCTGCCACTAGCTCCCTGCTAGTGCTCCTGGGAAGGCAGAAGATGGCACAAATACCTGCGTCCCTGTCATTCATATGGGAGCCCTGGATGGAGTTCCTGGGTCTTGGCTCAATCCAGCCATTGCAGCTATTCAGGGAGCGATCCAGCAGATGGAAGATGTGTGTGTGTGCGTTCGTTACCACTACCTGGGGACCAGGCAGATTCCGAAAGACTGTTGCTGCCATTCAAACCAGTTTAAGCAAAACCCCAGATGATGGAACTGAAATGGTGAATGGCTTCAGACACGGCTGGCACCAGGAACCCAAGGACATCACAGGCAGTGGCACACTCCCCATCTCTCATTCTGCTGTTCTCAGCACTGGCCTTGGTCTCAGAAGAGGAGCCCCAGAGGCAGCCTCCAGCTGCCCCAGGCTCCAGCAAAAGTCCCCTGGGCCAATGCCATGGATTGACTTAGCTCGCACGTCACAGGGTCGGAGCCACCAGGTTTGGATCCTGTAGCAGAACAACAGCATGAAGCTGGGGGGGTGTGGGGGCGGGAGCCCGGATGCTGAGCAGGCAGACCACAGGTGTCCCTCCACGCTTGGGACACCTGCTCCTGACCCCTGTCCTGGCACCCCTGAGAACTGCTTATCACCAAGCTCCAGGCTGGACCTGGCCTCTGGATGTAGAAGTAAGGGTGCTAAAGTGACACAGCTCCCCATCCGCCTTGGTGCCTCCATGCAGGGTGGTGCCCCTCCCTGAGCCTTGGTTCCCCTCTGCCAAATGGTGATGACAACCAGCCGGGCCACCCACTGTGCACACCCTTTTGGGACACTTTATTTATTTATTTATTTATTTGAAAGGCGGCATTACAGAGGCAGTGGCAGAGAGAGAGAGAGAGAGCGAGGTCTTCCATCCACTGGTTCACTCCCCAAATGGCCACAATGACCAGAGCTGTGCTGATCCAAAGCCAGGAGCCTGGAGCTTCCTCCAGGTCTCCCATGGGGGTGCAGGGGACCAAAGACCTGGGCCATCTTCTGCTGCTTTCCCAGGCCATAGCAGGGAGCTGGACTGGAAGTGGAGCAGCCAGGACTTGCACCAGCGCCCTACACGGGGTGCCAGGACTGCAGGCGGCAGCCCCTCAGCCCCTTGGGACACTTTTTAAAAAATCCTTAAACTGACCCTGTGAGGTGGGTTCCCTCACTGCCCCATATCAGAGCTGATGCTGAGTGAGGCTAAGTTCTCATTGTCAGCAAAGCTGGCAGTGCTGCACCAGGGCCACCGCAGAGCCGGCCCTGGGGCCCAGGGCTCCTGCCCTAGGGAAGTGCTGGGCGCTGTGCAGGAGGAGGTGGCACTTGGGAAGGTGTGCCTGGGAGGCTCCTGCAGAGCAGGGGGAGGCCAGCGAAGGCTCCACCAGCCAGCTCTTGCCACCCTCACCTTAACACCTTTTCTGAGAGTGTGAGGGGGTGCACAGAACAGGAAGTGGGGGTGGAGGGTGGGGTGGGGCTTCTTCTCCCAAGCCTCCCTGCAGTGGCAGTTACCCTTTGCCCCAGGTTCTCAAAAGGAAATGCAGAGGAGGGAGGTGTTTCTGCCAAGGTCACCCAACCAGGGACCTTTCTCCACTTTTCCAAGCTGGGGGCCCAGGAGCCCCGGGCTGGGGCTTGTAGCAGCGTGTAGGGCGGGCAGCACAGTCCTGGGGGACTTGCATGCAGAGATTGGCATGTCAGCACGTTGAAGGGTGATTACGGCTGGGGAGTGGCAGACATCAGGGCTGGGGGGAGGCCCTCCAGGGAGGCAGCCACCTGCCACCTCGCACCCAGAGCCTGGATGTGTGAGTGTGTATGGGGCGGGGCGGAGGGGGGGGGTGGGCAGCCAGTGGCCTACAGGAAGCGTTCTCAAAGGCTAAGTGACAAATGGCTCCCATTCCCACTGCTCAAGGAACCTGAGGACCACGAGAGGGCCACTCTATTTGTCAGTACAGGGGTCACTCTGACCACTGCAGTGCCAAGGAAAATAGGGGATGGGGAGACCGTGCACAGGTGTTTGATTGCAGTCTATGAGCCACAGGGGAAAGATTGTATGGAAGTATGGAGAGAGAGTGAGGGGTCCGGAGCAGTGGGCTCCACAGCCCCAGAGCAGGAGACCCTCTTGCATCCTGCAAATACCGACTGCTGGGAGCAAGGTCCTTGGGAGCTCGCTCTGCGCTACCTTTGCAATTTTTTGCTGTAAACCTGAAACCACTCTGAAATAGAAAGTTTATCCCAAAATAGCGAAGGCAAGAGGTGAGAGAGTAGGTGTGGCTGAAGAGAGATGTAGGTGGCTCGTGGGGAGGCAGGAGTTTGAGGAAGGGAGAGCTGGCAGGCACTTAGGGGGTTTTGAGATGTGAAACTGGAAGAGCAGGAGGCTGGGGAGGGAGCCGGGGTTGGCCACACGGTGGGTGGAGCTGTGAGCTGGGACAAGTCAAAGGGAGCAGGCAGAGGCTGAGGCCAGAGAGCAGATGCCCGGCCATCTGCCTCCCCTCCCAGGCACCCCCAGGCCCTGCAACAGGGCGTGTCCTCCCCCCCCAACCTGGGGCGGGGGGAAGGAGGCTGCCACTGCTGCTGCTCTCTCCCTGTGGCTCCTCACCCCTTCCCTTCCTGCCCTTTGTCACTCAGTCGGTCCCTTACTGATTCCCAATGCACCCCTTCTGGCCAGCAGGCCAGGGGCTCAGGGGCTGGATCTCCGTGGGGGCCACAGAGACACTGCCAGGTCCAGGGGCTCCGGGGCGTTGGTGGGCACTGAGTGCTCCTGAGGCAGGGGTCTGGGAATGTTTGCAGTTGTGAAAGGGTCCTCTCCACCCCAGGATGCTGGGAACCACTGCTGGAGCAAAGTGCCCACTCTGCTTTCTCCTGGCACAGCCGGTTACCCAGCTCAGAACTGAGAGGCCCTGTAGGAGCCAATGTCCTCCTCCACCCCCGGCCCCCAACTGCACCAGATGGAGGTGCCCGGGTTCTGCCTCCCCTGGGGAGATGGGGCTGGGGGGCTTCCTGATGGTGGGACAGGATTCTAAGGGCTTGGAGGGTCCCAGGGGCCCACTCCAGCAGGGAGTTGCCATGCCCCGGGAGGCCCTGGCTCTGGCAGCTCCTCCCCAGCCCCTTGTCTTTCCCCTGCTTCGGGAATAAAGGTGCCGGCAGACAGGCCCTCAAGTTTCCCTGGAGGAGCCCTGTCCTGGGAGTCTGGGGTTAGATGCTGCTTCTGGGAACTCCCCCTGGGATTCCTCTGGGAGCTGTGAGGCTGGGGAGGGAAGCAAGGGATTTCCTAGCCAGGCCCCATCCGGGAAGGCACAGCTGTGAGTGGATGGTGGCATTACCAGCTGGGGTGGCCTGAAATGACATGGGCACGGAGCAGGGGTGGAGGGATCTGCTTAGGCACTGGGATCAGGATGGGAATAGGACAGGCTAGTCTGCAGGGATGCAGCCAGGGATGGGTAGGTGCACAGGTGTACAGGGAGTGCACGGAACATGGGCTTGGGGATGGGGTGGGGGTCGGGGGTAGGGGGGAAGATGTGGGGCTGGGACTCATGGCACTGCATAGTGATGGGGGTGGGCCAGGAACGGCCCGTTCAGAGGCAGAGATGCGCTGCAGGCAGACAGGTTGGGGGAAAATGGGGTTTGGGGTGTGAATGGGATTGGGACGGGGTCGGGGGTGAGCTGGGATGGAGCTAAATTAAGTGGGCACTGGGGTGGGACGGGGTTAGACCTGGGTTTGAAATCTTCGTGAGGTGGGGACTGGGCTGGGTAGGGGCCGGGGACTAGGGGGCGACGGGCCATGCGCGCGGGGCGGGCGTCCAGACTCAGGCCGCCCCGCGAGGGGGGCTGCGGGCGAGGGGCGTGGGGACGCCCCAGGGCAGGCCGGGAAGGGGGGGCGGGCCTCCCCCTGGGCCGGGCCGCGGCGGCGCTAGGACCAAGCGCGCGGAGGGAGCGAGCCGGGCGGAGCCAGCGCCCCCCGCCCCCCGCCGGCCGGCTCCCCTCCCCCGGCCGCTGGCTCGCTCGCTCGCAGCGCTGCAGAGGCTCCGAGGCGGCGGCGGCGACGGCTCCGTCTTCCCCTCCCTCCTCCTCTTCCTCTTCTTCCTCCTCCTCCTCCTCAGTCAGTCAGTCCGTCCGTGCGTCCGTGCGCTTGGCCTCCGTCCGGCCCGCAGCATGGCCGGCGTCAGCTTCAGCGGCCACCGCCTGGAGCTGCTGGCGGCGTACGAGGAGGTGATTCGGGAGGAGAGCGCGGCCGACTGGTGAGCCCCCCGCCCCCGCCCCGGCCCCTTTGTCCCCGCGCCGCCGCTGCCGCCGCCGCCGCCGCCGCCTTTGTCTGCTCCGGCCCCGCCGCCGGGAGGGAGGGGGCGACCCCGAAATGGTGCAGCGGGCCGGGGAGGGGCTGCCTTTGTGCGCGCCGGGGAGGGGCCGGGCGGGGCGCGGCCGGCCCGGGCGCCCGGAGGCGGCCCCAGGCGCGCCGGAGAGCGGTGGCCGGACGCAGGCCGGGAGGACTCGAGGTCCAGATGTGGGGCCAGGGCCGCAGGGCCCTGTAGGAGCCCATCCCCCCCGGGGCCCCGGGGACAGGTGTGCAGAGGCCGGCCAAGGGCACCTTCGCCACCTTCGAGCGGGCCAGGGCCGGGCGGGGACGGGGCGGGGACCGAGCCAGCGGAGCGAGCGCAGCCTTCCCGGCCCCGGCCCGGCCCGGCCCGGCCGCAGCACAAAGGAAAGCGGGGCGGGGGAGGAGCGCCGCGGGCTGGGCACCGGGTGCCCCGCCCACTGGGGGGCTTCTCTGGGTCGGCCGCCCTCCCCCCACCTGGCTTGGGGTGTGACGGATGGATGTTCCCTGCTGGCCACATGGCGACCGCGAAGTCACTGCTTTACCCCTCGCCCTGGCGGAGGTGGCTAGGCTGAGCCCCTTGCCCCTACCTGAAGGGGATAGCGATTCCGCGGCTACAGGGCAGGGAAGGGTTGAGGACATCCGTAGGGCCTCCGGCCCCTTCACCCTGCAGCAGGCTTCCCTGTAATGAATGAGCCTGCTGCACCTCTCCCCCTCCCCGGTGTTGCCCCCCCCAGCCCTCCCACCCCGCCCAGCTGGGGGAGGGGATGACCACCACCTGCTCTCAACTGCTGCCCCATCCTGGATTCACTGGCACCCTGAGGACTCACTCTTCTCTCAGGGCAGGAGCCCATCCTGTTCCTAGACCTTCTTCCCCAAGCCCTTTCCAAAGAAGCTGAGGCCGGGTGTGAGTGCAGGTCTGAGGGACCTCACTGGAGCAGCAAGGTGGGGACACGATGGCCCTGGGGGCTGGCAGAGGGCTCAGGATGACCAGGCATCCATGCTGTGTTGCTGCAGCACTGGCCGGCGGCCAGGCCTGGAGGGATGGACGCGGGAGGCAAGCTGTGGTGTCCTGCAGGTTGGTCACGGGAGGGGGCCGGCACAGGCTAAGCAGGCAGGCGGCCCACCCATTGTCCCAGCCCTGCCCCAGGGGTGCTGAGATCATAGGAGGAGTTCTGGGCAAGTGGCCGGCTTGGCCGGTGGAGGAGCTGGCCCTGGGATGTTGGAGAGGCGTAGTCCAGGCTGAAGGTCTCCATTGCCCTTGGGTCTGGGGGGATTCACTTTCACCACCCCCTTCTCTCTTACCCCTTCCCCGAATTCGGGTGCCCCGGTGCTGGGGCCACACAGCCGCTGCTGCCCCATATCCTGGCCAGCAGCAGCCTGGGCCCCCACCTCCCAGCAACTTCCACGTGGCCAGGGCGAGTTATTCATCACAGGCATGCGTCAGCCCCCATCTGTGTTGTGTGTGGGACACACACGCAGATGCACACATGCACCCTTGCACATACACACATATGCTGGATCCCAAGGGCCCACGTGGCATTTGCTGAGAAAGGCGTGAGCATCACATACTGTAGAAGGGGCGGCAAGTGCCCCCAGCAACCAGCGTGGAGCCCGGAGACCGTGAGGTCTCAGGCTCAGGGCAAACAGCTTGCACTTGCAGTCCAAGGGGAGGGGCGTTTGGGTAAAACTGCTGTCTGGGCAAAGGGGAGTTGGCACTTTCCTCCCCTCCCTTGCCTCTGAATGGGGGGAGCAGCTTCAGTGGGGGAGAAGGAGGGGCGGGAGGGGGTTTGCTCCTGGGTGGCAGGGCCTCTGAGATAGACAGCCCCTGACACTGGGAGCGGAGCCCCGGGAAGTGAGGTTGTACAGCAGAAATGGCCCATGATGCCCCGTTGTGGAATGACTCACGGTGTGACTGCTCACAAGTTCCTGCTCCTCTCTGGTCTTGAGAAGACTGGGCTCAGTGTGGGGAGGTCTTTTCAGCTTAAGCCTCTGAGTGTGGTGGTCCGAAGGGACCCACCCACCCCAGTCTTTGCACCCCCAGCCCCGGCTGACCCCGGGATTTTCCTGGAGCTACCACATTCCAGCTCCCACCTCACCCTAATCCAGTTTCTTTGGCCTAGATAGTTTCTAAGCGTGTGACAGTATCACAGATGCTACTAATGTCACCCTACGCTGGACACGGGGACCCCCAGAGCCGTGTGTGGTACCTGAGTTCCTGCCTTCACAAAGCTCACCCTGTGGGCGCTGCCTGTCTCCAGGGGCTGGAGCTGGGGAGGTGTGTGCTGATTCCCTGTGGATTCACCAGCTTCACCCCTCTCACCCTGGCCCAGGGGGTCTGAAATGGGGTTGAGAAGACTGTTTCCATCGGATCGGGGTGGGCGCAGGTGCTTCTTCTTGTCTCTGCTGGTGTATGACAGATGCCCAGGGGAGGTGCAGCGCAGGGAAGCTGCTGGGGGCTGGTCCCGGGTCCTGGGCGTGGAGGGGAAGGTTGCCTTGTGAACAAAGGCTTTGGGAAGACATTTCCAGAGCATACTGGAGCTGAGAACCATCAGGGAGCTCGTGTGTGGTGTGAGGGGAAGGGCAGGCTGGGGCGAAGGGTGCACCTCCGGTGGGTTCCTCTGGGGTTGGGGGGTTGGGGGAGGGCTACGGCCCTAGCAGGAAGGGGTGGTGGGGAGGTGAGCCTCAGAGAGCCTGCCCCTGGCTGAGACCAGCGGCCCAGTGGCCTGGGACCTGTGGATGTTTAGAGCAGTGTCTAGGAACTAGAATCCCTGGGCTCTGCCTCAGTTTCTCATCTGCAAACAAAAGGGGCAGACCCTACTTCTGTGAGAACCCTTTGTTCCCAGCAGGGGCTAGGGCAGCTGGACAGGTGGTGGGACAGCTGTGCCCGGAAGCAGCTGTCCTCGGGGCCTGGGCTGGGGCAACAGTTGGGCCAGGAGCTCCCAGCCCAGGGCCCACCTGTGCTTTTAGCTGGGGGCAGAGAGGGGAGGGAGGCAGGAAGAGGAGGGGCTGGGGGTCACCCAGCTCTGGCACTGCTGACCCATGGGGATGGGGCCGTGCCTCCCTCTTCCCTCCTGGTTTTCTCTCCTTCTGTTCCTCCCTCCTTCCTTTTTAACCCCTTCACTTCCCTCCTTTCTCTTCTTCCTTGTCACTGCCTCTCCCTTTCTCTTCTCCAGCCCCCCGGGCTCCTGCCTGTCTTCCTGGCATCTCCCAGCCTCCTGCTTTGGCAGTGGGGAGGTGGGAGTTTGGAGAAGGGTCTGAGCTCTTCTGAGCCTCAGGCACAGGGCCCAGGCCTCTCCGCCCAGTGGGTCCCCGGCTTGGGCCGCCTCCTGATGGGAGGCGTCTCTGCATTTCCTTCCGTGAAATGGATGCTCTGCCGTTCGCCCAGGGAGAAAGAGCCAGGGCAGAAGAAGCCAGGCAGGAGGAGAAAGGAGGCGGGGTGGGGGGAGGAAGGCTGCTAGGTCAGCTTTCTGGCCGGAAGCTGGTAGTCCCAGGAGGCCCCCACTAGGGCGGAGGCGGCCTAGGGTCTGGAAGACCAGGAGGGTGAGGCCACCCTGAGGCCAGTGTCTGGGCAGTGACCTCATCCCCATTTCTGAGAGGCGGAGATGGAGTCTGAGGGCGGGTCCCTGGGGTCCTTTGTGTGAGAGGAGAATGCAGCTCTGGTGGGCCAGGCGAGTGCCAATTGCTGAGTTGCCATGGTTACCGGGGGATGCCCAGAGCTGTGCGATCACTAGGTTCTCTCTCTCTCTCTTCCCCCTCCTTCTCCAAGAGGGGAGGGGCCTCGGGTACCAAGGCGTGCGCCAGGTAGGTTCCTGGCCCTGGCCAATGGGGGATGAGGATTGTGGTAGCCAGGGAACGGTAACCAAGGAACCGTTGCCTTGGAGTTTCCATCGCACACCCGCTCCGCTGGGTTGTGGGCTGCCAGGGCCGGGGCTGGACGCGCTGAGCTCCATCAGGAAGCGGCTTCGCCCCTGATTCTCTGCTCTGCACCTGACCCAGGCCTCCACCAGGTTCCCAGAATGCACCCTGCCGGGCTGCAACCAGAAACACTCCTCGGCCCTGTAGTCATGGTGACAGCAGGAGCCTCCCCGCTCCGCCCAATCCCCTCTGTGTCCCTCTCCCTCCCCAGAGCCATCCCCACCCAAATTTGGCAGCCTGAGCCCTGACAGTTCCAGGAGCCTCCCCTCCCTCTCCCCAGGGCTCTGTACACATATGAGGATGGCTCAGATGACCTCAAGCTGGCGGCCTCCGGAGGTAAGAATTCCAGCCATTCCTCCGCCTTCTTTCCCGCCCCCTCCTCTGGTTGTTTTCTTCCCCACCGCCTGGCTCTTCGCGCGGCCAGCCTCCCGCCCGTACTGGTCTGGGGGCTGTCTTCCTCCTGGTCGTCCCTACTAGCCCCGTGCTGGGCCGGGAGGGGGCTCTTGCTTCCTGTGTGATCCTGGAGATGGAGTCTCAGAGACGGAAAACCACTTGTCCAAAGTCCCACAGCTCAGAGGGAAGGGGGCCAGCAAGAATGGCCCAGGTCAGCCCCACATTCTCAAACCCGGAAGGCTTTGTTAACGAGAGCTGTATCTGACCTCTCTGGGCACTAGCACCTGGGGAGATGAGTGTGTGGAGAGTGAGAAATGTGGAAGGAAGTGTGAAGAACAGACGCTTCCTGGGGCCCTGGAGGATTCAGAGGCAAAGTTAGGTCTTGTAGGCACCCCCAGCACACAGCGCGAAGCTCTGGGGGACCTCCCGTGCTCAGGGCCCAAAATTCCTGGAGGGTGACTGCCCAGCCCACCGAAGTCCTTCCTTGGGGTCCCAGGCCCTTGGCTGGGTCAGGGTTTAGGAGGCCCAGAGGCCTGACGCCTTCTTGACTCCCCCAGAAGGGGGCTTGCAGGAGCTCTCAGGCCACTTCGAGAACCAGAAGGTGATGTACGGCTTCTGCAGCGTCAAGGACTCGCAGGCGGCTCTGCCAAAATACGTGCTCATCAACTGGGTATGCAGCCGCCGGCCGGGCACGGGAGTGCGAAGCCCTGCACCCCCTCTGCCCGCTGACGCGGGGCGAGCAAACCCGCTGGGCCCTGGGGCCTCGGGCTGCTGCCTCTCTCCTCCTTTCCTGATCCCTGCTTCTCTGGGGACTTCACAGGTCGGCGAAGATGTGCCCGATGCCCGCAAGTGTGCCTGTGCCAGCCACGTGGCTAAGGTGGCTGAATTCTTCCAGGTGAGTGCGGGCCCAGGGTAACCACCCCCAACCTGGGTGGGGGCTGCGGCTGTGCCCTGAGTGGTGACGGGAATGGGGCTCACCGCTGTCTGAACACTGCCCTCTTGTGGTAGGGCGTGGATGTCATTGTGAATGCCAGCAGCGTGGAGGACATCGATGCGGGCGCCATCGGGCAGCGGCTCTCCAATGGTCTGGCCCGGCTCTCCAGCCCCGTGCTGCACCGACTGCGGCTGCGGGAGGATGAGAACGCTGAGCCTGTGGTCAGTGCATGCCTGGGGCCAGCTGGCCTCGCCTGGGCTCTCTGCTGGCGTGGCCTGGCCTTCCCCCTAAGCCCTGCCCCTTGGTGTGCGGGAAGCTCCCGGAGCATACAGCCTGCTCTGGTGCTCATGCCTGCTCACCTGACACCGCAGGGCACCACCTACCAGAAGACGGACGCCGCGGTGGAAATGAAACGCATCAACCGCGAGCAGTTCTGGGAGCAGGCCAAGGTGTGGGACCCCCAGCCTGGCCTTCGGGCCGAGCTGCACCCCCCATCACCGACCCCACGGCATAGCCCCGAGTTGCTCACCTTTCACTGTGTGTCCCATCCTCGCGTTCCCCACCTATGAGTGGGAGCAGCCTCCTCCCTGAGCCCGAGTGAGCGGGGTGGAGGGACGGGGCACCCTGGGCACCTAGGCTCAGGGCCTGCACTTGCTGGGCGTGGGGGTCACAGAAGGAAGAAGAGCTGCGGAAGGAAGAGGAGCGGAAGAAGGCCCTGGATGAGAGACTCCGATTTGAGCAAGAGCGGATGGAGCAGGAGCGACAGGAACAGGAGGAGCGGGAGCGGCGCTACCGTGAGCGGGAGCAGCAGATCGAGGAGCACAGGTGAGCCCTGCCCAGCCGGTGGCTCGGGACCCCCGGGGCCACCGTGACCCAGGCGCTTGCTTCCTTGTCATTCCAGGCGGAAACAGCAGACGCTCGAAGCTGAAGAGGCCAAGAGGCGGCTGAAGGAGCAGTCCATCTTTGTAAGTCCTTCTCCAGGATGCTCGTCTCCTGGCCAGTGCTCCCCACATTCCTGGACCCCTGGCTCAGGGCTGCACTGGGTGTTGTGGGGGCCTGCATGGGCCTGGCACCCTGTCCTGTGGGGCTGTGGCCTCTGGATGGAGAAAGACTTCTTGACTGGAAGAGAAAAACCTGGACCCAGACCCTCAGTCCCTATGTGGTCTCAGGGTAGATTCCACAGGGCTCCTGTGGGTGGAGGGCTCTGGCTGCAGAGCTGTGGGAATGGGGTGGGCCTGTGCTTTGAGCATCCACCCCAGGCGCGCAGCGTCTCCTTTGGGGTAGCCCCCATGTCCCAGGGCTGCCGTGGGAATCGCCACAAATTAGCAATGGCCCCAAGAGCCTGTGGATTGGTCCCTGAAAATCCTAGCAATGCTATCTTTGCACTTTGAATTGAATTGAGTATTTCAGAAGCCACTGGGGTTATTCAGGACCCAGCCTGGTACAGTTCAGGAAGATGAGGTGAGACACGGAATGGGACGAGGGTGAGCAGATGTTGGGCAGTGGGGACTCCAGTGAACTCCAGGACACACCCACAAGAAGACAGAGGGAGGAGGCAAGACAGGGCTGCAGGCCCCTGCAGTGAGTGCTGGCCAAGGTCACCCGAGTTACATCAGCCCATTGTGGGGGTGGAGAGGGTGGGGGGGGGTGAGCTCCGGGCTCTCTGGTTCCTGCGGCAAACACTTGCTGCCCGCTACGTGCCAGGTGTGAAGAACGTGGTGGAGAAGCAGATGGGAAGTTGATCCACTCTTTTTTAATCGTGGCGCCATTTACATAGCCTGAAATGCACTGCTTCAGTGAAATGCCACTCTGCAGTGTGGCATTTGGGACGGCCTCACAGTTGTGCACCTGTCGCTGCCATCCGTCTCCGGAAAGCTCACAGCTCTGAAGCTCTGTGCTCCTTAGCCATTCCCCAGCGTTTTTCCCGTGTCCAGGGGAATCACCCGTGTCTGTTCCTTTTGCCTGTGGATCTTTTCCTTCACGTTGTAGTGTGTCACAATTTCCTGCCTTTCCAAGGCCAGATAACATGCCAGTGGGTGGATGGAGACATGTTGTTTATCCATTCATAGCAAAGCCTTTTGGGAATAACCTGTTCTCATGGAAAATTCCAAACACACACACATGTACGTACGTGCGTTCACACACAAGCACACACCTATGAAGTAGACGGAAGACGGATGGCTCATCTTCGCCAGTTGTCAACATTTCAGGCAATCTGAAGGAACCCACGCCATGTCTTAGACCTGTCTATCCCTTAAGGTGTAGCTCACGTGACAGTGGCCGTTCTAGCAGGTCAGTATGGTGGCCTTGCAACCGCACGTCCGTTACAGAGGGTTCCACATGAGACACTTTGCAATTGAGTTCTGTCACATTCTTTCTTTGGGTCTCTCGGAGGTGTTCTGCTACCTGTCCCCTGTTGATAAGCTGTTTCTGGTCTGGGTTCCCTTTTTGCCTGGGCTGCTAGGGAACTCCCACATACCTGAAAATGCTTCAGCACAACAGAGCTCTTGAGCCCAGTGGTTAGGGTCTTGATCTCTCCACTGCCTTGTTTCTGTGTGGTTCACACAGTTGATGGTTAGAGATGCTGCAGTCCAGAGCTCCTCTGGTTCTGAATGAGACCCGGGAGGCTAGCAGGATGATCCAGGGGTGGATCCAGGCAAAGGCTGGTGGGATGTCTATTGGAAGGGAAGGAGCTGGGCCCAGCTGGAGCGAGGGGGCTGAGGAGCAGGGCAGATTGGTTGGGAAAGGAGAGGTTAGAGTTCATTCTGGGAGACACGGCTATTGGAGTGAAGTCCTCTTGCAGTGGGGATGGTGGTGGTGGTGATGGACTTTTCTCCTGATGCACCCCAGTAGGAATGTTGAGGTTCCAAGTTCTTGTGGAGTCTTATCCCCCCACCACCTTACCTGCAGCTTTCCTCCCAAGCCCCCCTCCCCCAGTGCCCTGGAGCAGTTGGGGACACTGAGGCAGAGGCATTTTGGTGTTGTGAGTTCACTCAAGCAACCCTGTGTCCACCTATGCTGGTCTCACACAGAGACCTGAGCCCTCCTCCTGTGTGGTTCATGGAGCCGGGGAGGTGAGCCTAGAGGCAGGACATCAGGCCACAGAGCCACGAACACCCTATGGGGACTCCGAAAAGGGAGTGAACCTCAATGGACCAGGGCTGGAAACTAAGGGGTTGGACCTGGGTCAGTGGGTGGGCATTTGGTAGAGCTGGGTGGGTCCCCCATGCCGAGGCGGAAGTGGAGAAGTGGGGTGCACTTGCTGGGAACTGTGACCCCATTATGCTGAGAACTTTGTGTCTGCACCCCAGAGTGTGTGGGTTGGGGCTGGGGGCAAGGGGTAGTGGTGGAGAGGTGGCAGGGGCTAGGTCAGGAAGGGGGTGGGGGCTAGGCCAGGTGGGGCCAGGCGGGGCCCCTTCTACCTGGGCTCCTGGGTTACAGTCTCCAAGCCTGGCACTGAGGTGGGCCGGGGACATAGGAGGGAGGGAGGCTGTCCTGAGCCGGACAGCGCTCGCCTGGCGCAGTGTGGCTGAGGCAGAGCTCTGGCCAGTGGCTGCTTCTGCGGGCTTGTGGGCAAGCGCTGCCAGGGCTTCTGGCGTTTCCAGAGAAGCCGGGATCCCAAATTCAGTGCGCAACTCCCTGGTTTTCAAGTGGTGACAGCTAATTACTGTGCTGTGACAACATCCAGCTGTGGGCCATGTTTAGCCGCTGCCTGCTGTGGCTCCTGGGAAGCCCTGATGGGTTGGAAGCTCTAGGGAGTTCTAGGTCTAGGCTGGAGCATTTTTGGGGCGCAGAAGCGGGAGGTGGCGGATAAATGCAAAAGCCTTGGCCTTGGCCGTCATGCCCAGCTCTAGGTGGGGACAGTGGGAGCACGCAGACCTGTATGCCTGGGGGTAGGTCCAAAGAGTCAGCCGCATAGTAAGGGTGCTCCCGGAAGTCCCTGGTGCCTGGTTAGTTATGGGGTGAGCCAGTGAGTGAGTCAGTCAGTGAGCTGAGTGCCAGGGACCTGACGAGGTGGGAGGGTGACATGATGGCCTGCAGAAAGGTGGTGTGGCGGGTGGGGAGGGGAGGGGGCGCCGCCTCAGGGCACCTGGTCCCCCTGTGGGAGTGGATGGCCAGGACACTGCCCCCTTGGTCTCCAGGGTGACCAGCGGGATGATGAGGAAGAAACTCAGATGAAGAAGTCGGAATCAGAGGTGGAGGTGAGAGCTGCGGAGACGGGGCAGGGGAGATGGGCAGGGGCTCCTTCTGCTGGGCCCAGCCCCGCCCTGATCCTTCCCTGCGCCGCCAGGAGGCAGCGGCCATTATCGCCCAGCGGCCCGACAACCCCCGGGAGTTCTTCAAGCAGCAAGAACGAGTGGCCTCGGCCTCTGCGGGCAGCTGTGATGTGCCCTCACCCTTCAACCACCGGCCAGGTAGTCCTCGGCCCTACCCCCACCGGACCCCCATTCCTCGGGGTGTGGCCCTGAGCCCCTCTTAGACTCTTTCTTGGAAGAGAAGCCTTGCCCAAGGACCCCCACCTTGGAGAAGGCAAGACCCTCATCCAGCGTGTCCCACCCACCACTTCCCAAGTGGCAGGACCTTCAGAGGGGCTGCCAGTGGTGTCAGTGCGGGGCCTCGGCGGAACTGAGGGTGGTGCTGGCAGCCAGCTGGGCCGCTATGGCATGGGCTGAGGCACACACTGGCCTTGGGGAGCAGCCTTGCTGGGGTCGACTCGGTCGGGCCTGCAGGGCCTCGGGTGCATGTGCAGGCAGCCCTGGAGCCTGTCCCCAGGCTTCCGCGTTTGGCTTCTCCACGTACAGCTTCCGCTGTCCCCGAGCCCTCTTCCTCTCTGTCTGCCGGCCTGAGCGTGCCTGCACTTGCTGTGTGCTTGGTGCTGTGCTGTGCTCCCGGGGCAGTGGAGGCTGCCGCTGAACCCAGCTCCTTGCTGTGTCTGGTGCTGGTGGGAGGCATTGGCTGGGTTGTGGCTGTGGTGCAGCTTGGCTGAATGCGTGCCCTGGCTGAAGGCAGCTTGGACATCCAGGGCCAGCCCCGGGGTGGGTGAGGCCTCCAGGCGGGGGTGGGGGAGACTGACCCTCTCTTGTCCTCTGTCTCTTTCTCTGTCTGTCTCTCTCGGCAGGTCGTCCGCACTGCCCTTTCATAAAGGCATCGGACAGTGGGCCTTCCTCCTCCTCCTCTTCCTCCTCTTCCCCTCCACGGACTCCCTTTCCCTATATCACCTGTCACCGCACCCCAAACCTCTCTTCCTCCCTCCCATGTAGGTAGCAGCCTCAGGCCTCGGCGGGCGGGGGTAAGGAGGGCCCCGCTTCCCCTTCGCTGCCCCAGCCTGATCGCTGGTCTCAGGGCAGGAACTGCCTAACTCATGCCCCTGGCCCTGCGGGGCCCTGGCTCCCAGGGGCCTGGCTTACAGGGTCTGGAGTGGTGTTCTGCTCCCTGGGGGCGGCCTGGAGAGCTCCCAGCCTCCCACCCAGACTCCGGAGGAGGGGCTGGCCAGGCCCCAAGGTGGACAGTCCTGGCGCCAACCAGCTGCCGCCCTCCTGCTGACGCACTGGGGGTTTGCTCCACAGGCAGCCACCTGGACAGCCACCGGCGGATGGCGCCCACCCCCATCCCTGCCCGGAGCCCCTCAGACTCCAGCACGGCCTCCACCCCCGTCACCGAGCGGATTGAGAAGGCCCTGGATGAGGTCACGTCCTCGCAGCCGCCACCACTGCCACCGCCACCCCCACCTGCGCAAGGTGAGGAAGGGGCCTCCCGTGGGTCTCTGGGTTGGGGACCCCCGGGTTGCCATGGTAACAATGCCCTAGGGCTCCACGGCTGTGGCAGGGGGAAGAGTCCTGAGTGGGAGTGGGACCTGCCTTCCCTAGACCTCAGCATCCCCCCCTCTGGAGTAGGGGCTGGGCCACCTCCCTGGGGATCGTGGCTGCTGTCGGTGTGGCAGAGCCTTGTATGGGGTCTGAGTGGAAGGATTCTTGCCTGGAAGTCCCCACCTCCCTCCCTGCTTGGGGTGGGGCTGGGGGTTGGGGCTGCAGGGTCTCCATCATTCCCCAGGGAGCTAATTGCCTCTGTGCTGTGACAGAGACCCAGGAGCCCCGCCACAGCGAAGAGACCAGCAAGGAAGCCCGGGCAGCGGCAGCAGCAGCTCCTCAGGCCTGGGCCAGCCCCATAGAGGAGCCCCCTCAGGCCCAGGAGCCTCCCCAGGGGCAAGGCGGGCCCATGGAGGACTTGGTGTTGATGACGTCTCCAGAGCCGGCCGATGCGCCGGCCCTCGGGGAACCTGCCACCGCAGAGACCACGGAGGCCGATGCTTCGGTAGCTGACGCCCACGTGGCTGATGCCGATGAAACCGACACTGCCGCTGCTGACACCGCTGTTGCCAACAACGTGGCCCTCACCACTGCCAGCTTTGTTGACCTATGGCCTGGCAATGGGGAAGGGGCCTCAGCACCCCAGGCCGAGCCCAGGGCCCCCACCCCACCCTCAGGCGCTGAGGCCCCTTTGGCAGAGGTACCCCAGCTGAATGAGGTGGCTCAGGAGCCACTGGCCCCTGCGGGTGAAGGCTGTGCCAACCTCCTCAGTTTCGATGAGCTGCCTGAGCCGCCAGCCACCTTCTGTGACCCAGAGGAGGAAGCAGAAGGGGAGCCCCTGGCTGCGCCCCAAGCCCCAGCTCCGCCCTCGGCTCCAGAGGGGCCAGAGCAGGAGCAGGAGCTGGAGCAGGAGCAGGAGCTGGGACCCGAAACCCATCTACTGACCAACGGGGAGACCACCCAGAAGGAGGGAACTCAGGTGGGGCAGGGGCTGCCTGGTGGGAGGGGTGGCTTGCTCTGTGACCCACATTGTGAGTCCAGTTCGATTCCCGGCCCTGAGCTCGGCTCTGCCGTGGTTCCCTAGGCGGGCATCTCTGTTTCCTTGACAACCACTGAGGGAATCACTGGTTGCCGGAGAAACGCCGAGCTCGGACCTGATAGGCCAGCCCTCGTTCTGCTGGGTGGGGCCCAGGGACCTGGTGCTTGTCCCCTGCAGGCCAGCGAGGGGTACTTCAGCCAGTCGCAGGAGGAGGAGTTCGCCCAATCAGAAGAGCTGTGTGCGAAGGCTCCGCCTCCCGTGTTCTACAACAAGCCCCCAGGTAGTGTGGGCGGGGTGTCGGGAAGGAATTAGGGCGCGGATGCTGCGTCCACCCCCTCCCCACCATCGCGGGTCCTTTCCTCTCCCAATGCCGTAGAAATCGACATCACGTGCTGGGATGCAGACCCGGTCCCGGAAGAGGAGGAGGGCTTCGAGGGCGGCGATTAGCCTCGGCGCCCGCCCTCAGGCTGCCCTCGCCCAGGAGGCCACTCGCCCGCGCCGGCCTCTGGTCAGACGGCCCGCAGCGCCTGCGTTCACCGCCCCGCCTGGCGCCCACTCGGGATTCTGGGCCCTCGCCGGGGACTTGGCCGCTTCCCCACTCACAGGGCCTGACTTTTACAGCTTTTCTCTCTCTCTTTTTTTTAAAGTTGATAGGACACTTGTACAGTTGACTGGTTTTCCTCCGGTTGGTAGTTGAGACGCTGTTGCAAATCCCACCCCCTCCCCGCCCGGTCCAGTTTGTAGCTCTTAGCCCTCCCTGCTCAGCTGGCCCGGGTGGGGCCTGGCGTGGTGGGGGGAGCTGTGGAGGGAAAATGTGCCCCCACCTCTTTTCCTAGTTTTATGTTTCTTGGAAAAATATCACTTTGTATTCTCTGTCCAGGGCTTCGGATATTTTGCACGAATTTTAAAACATGGCAATAAAAGGCTCGTGGGCTCTGGCTCCCTGGGACCCCATCCCCGCCCTCCCTACCTGGCCCAAAGGAAGTAGTAGGCCCAGCTGGGGCCCCTCGGCATCCCGCCCACTCCTGCCGGGCAGGTCCCAGGCTGGAGGCCCCAGGCGTGATTCAGGTTGGGGCTACGGATGGGGCCCAGGGGCTTGGGAGGCCCCTCCCCAACTCCTCTTTGCTTGGGCTCCTTTTTCCTTTTTCACATTCAGTACATTTTTTTTTTTTTTAAAGCACAAACTTCTGTAACGGGTCGTGCTCATGTCTGTTAATAAAGAAATCCAGATCCCTTCGGGTCTGCTGCTCTGGCGTGGGCTGGCGGCCCTGACAGCGCCCCCTCCGCAGTCCTCCCCACTCCAAGGCGGCGGAGCGCAGGGCGCCTCACTGCAGCCAGGGGGCACCTTAACGTGACCGCAAGGGCGGGACCAGGGTTCTGCACTCCCAGGCTAGCTTGTAGCGGAAACGAAGACAGGGGTCCATCCTGCTGGGGCCCCAGCGTGCCCGGTCTTCAGAACCTTGGGCTTAAGCAGCGGGTGCCCCCTCCGCTTGTACCAAACCAGATCACACAGCTTTATTATCCTCAAAATGTAACAAACGGGGTAAGAAATCCCTCCCCCCCCCCCAACCCGTCCCCGCAGTCCAAGGGAAGCGGTTAAAAAGCCCCGCCGTGAGGCCAGGAGTCCGCCGGGGGTGGGCGCCGCTCTATACGGCTGTAGTCCTCCCGAACAAGGGGATGGAGACCGGCAGGCGCCAGGCTCCGTGCTCCATGGGCTCGCGGCTGCTGAGCTCCGAGTCGGTCCAGCTGGGGAAAACCCGGCGGCCACGGTCGGCCTGCAGGCAGAGGGCAGGGCAGGGCGGCGCGGGCCGCGGGGCGCTGGGCAGGTGCAGCGCCGACGTGTAGCCCCGGTCCAGGAAGAGCGGCTTATAGCTGGGCGGCGGCTGCTCCTGCTTCTCCGCGCTGTCGCGGCGGCTCAGGAAGGGCGTGACGATCTTGCGGTAGAGGCCGCGCGTGTCCGTGAGCACCTCGCTGTAGGGCGGCGGCGGCTCCGCCATCAGCACCGCCTCTTCGTAACACGGCGGCTTGGACATGTCCGATTCCGCTGTGGGGCGGGATACGGCCCGAGGGGGTGAGGCCACACCGGCCATCGGCCCCCTGGCTCCCACCCCACCCCGCAGAGGCCTCAGCCGGCCGCCGGCTCCAGCGCTCTCCCCAGCTTCCCGGGATCTCGCAGCGAGCGGCGAGCCCGCCCCGCTACCGGGCCCCTGCCCTGCCCAGCCCCGGTGGTCCCGGCCGCTTCCCAGCCGAGAGCGACCCTTACCTTGGCGCGGGTAGCTCCAGGGCCGCGGCGGCACCGCGAGGTGCGGTGGCGGCGGGTGAGGAAGAGCGTGGTGGTGCGGGTGCGGGTGCGGGTGCGCGTGCGGCTGCGCGGGGCCGTGGTGCAGCAGCGGGTGCACGTGCACGTGCTGGTGGGCGTGCGCCGGCGCCTCCAGGCGGCCGCGGTGCGGGGGCGGCGGCGGCGCCAGGCCCGGGGGACTCCCGGCCAGGCTGCCCTCGAGCTCCAGGGGCTCCAGCTCCAGGGCTCGGAGGTTCTGCTCCCGCAGTCGCTCCTCCTGGCGCCGTTTGAGGCGGCGGCGCAGGAAGCTGCAGAAGCAGCAGAGCAAGACGATGAGACCCCAGATCAGCCAGAAGCCGGCGAAGCACGTGAGGAACGTGTAGGTGCCCTGGGACATCACCATGGCGGCGGCGCGGGCGGCGGTTCTCGGCGGCTTCACTGGACACTGGGCTCCTCTGCGTGGCCCCGAGCCCGCGCCCCGCGCCCAGGTGCCGCCAGTGTCACTCGGGAACCCGCGGCCGGGGGCTGCCCACGGCGGGGCTCAAGTCGTGCGCGCGCCGGCGGGGGGCAGCTGCGGCGCCCGCTCCTTCCCATGGCGCCGGCGGGCGCGCGGGCGTGCCTCACCCGCGGGCGCGCGGGACCTGTGGGGAGACACGGGGCGCGGTGAAGGCGCGCCGCGGCGCGCCCTGCGCCGTCCCGGGGAAACCGCCTCTGTGGGAACCCCCGCACTCCCTTGGGGGCCGGGGACGTCACCGCGGCGGATGACGTCACGCCCGGAGGTTCCCCCGGTAGGGTTTCCCCAGATCTGAGTCGGGGCCTCCGCTCGGCGGCGAAGCCCTGGTGCCCAGGTGGGGGAGGGGGAGGGGAGACCCAAGGTGGGCCAGCAGGGGGCGCGCGAAGGCCAGACTTGGACTCAGAGGCCGCCACCAGCGAGATGGGCTGCTCGCGAAGCCCGGCCCGGGGTGGCCCAGCTCCGGGAAGGGTTTCCGAGGCCTCTGGACGCCAAGGCGCTGAAGAGGGGCCTGCGCTGCGGGGAAGGAGTGTGCCACCTCTGAGAGTCCCAGTGCACACGCCGCCGGCACGGGCGGCTCCGCCTGCTCTGACTGCTGCTGCGTGCGCGGCCCTGCCTTTGCCTGCTCCTGACGCCCGGTGCCGGGCGTGGGCCGGTCCCTCTTCCTTTGCTCCAAGTGCCTCCGCCCGCCGGATCCCAGCTCCAATTCGGCGGCCCCCGCCTCCTCCCCACGCACAGCCCCACTTGGCTCTCCTACTCGTCTCCAGGCCGCCACCTCCCTTCCCCCAGGAAAGCTATCGAGGTTCCGAGCCTGTCTTTCCTACGCGCTGGCGTCCCCAGCTCCATCGCTCCGCTCGGCAGTAGATGCGGAAGGAAGCCGGGCATCCCAAGCCATATGCAGGAGGGACCGGCCAGAGGCGACTGCTCACCGGCCCCTTGGAACAGAAACCCCCTCCTTGAATGTGTTCCTTATATACCCGGTGGCTTTAACACACAGCCCTCTGGGGGCACTGGGATTCTTACCCCACAGATGAGGAGTGGAGGAGCAGCTAGCCATGCAGATGGCAGAAGCCAAGCCTGGCCGCCAAACGTTAGCCTGAGTGGGTGGCAGTCCTCAGCTGCTGGAGACCCCCTCCCCCCCAGCCTCACCTCAGCATGGCCGGGCACACACACTCGGTGTTGGGGGGTCATAGTCTGAAACCCAAGCTGGAAGGAAGCCAGGGCGCACGCCACCCTTCTCTGCAGGTGGCTCCTGTCTGACTCCAGGGCTGCCATCAGCCATGTGCCCCTCCGGGCCCGTGCCAGTCCTTTCTCCTGGGCCCGCGTTCCAGAACAGACAATAGCAGGAACAATAGCTCTGCCCGCCCCCTCTACAACCCCACCATGAGGCTGCCATGGCGACACAGCCCAGATAAAAACCCGATGCTGCCAGTCACTGGGAGTTAATTAAATCTGCTGTCTGCTTTCCCGGAGCCCTCAGGAGCGGGAATGACGGGAGGGCCCGCTGACCCTGGGCAGGAGCAGCCCCGGGTTAGAGAAGGCGCCGCGGGGCTGGAGGGGAGGCATTTGCTGAGTCAGAAGCACCTGTCAGGCACCAGCAGGCCATGATCCGGTGCTGCTCCGTGCAGAATCTTACACCCTCACTGCCACCACCTTGTCACTGGTGGTCCCACCTGTTCCATGGAGCAGGCAGAGACGGATGCTGCCCCAGGGCACACAGCTAATAAAGGGCAGAGCCAGGATTTAGCCCAAGCCAGAAACTGCACCGTGTGTCCACACACTTTTCCCACGTGACGGGTGGGGTGTAAGTGCAAAGCCCAGAGCTCAGGAGTGCCCAGTCCACGCAGACTTAACAGCCATGGGGGCAGGGGCCAGCCGCAAGGTGCATTTCCGTTCCTTCCCCCAGCCCCCTCTGTGGAATAACTCAAGGGAGGGAAAGGGCTCCAGGATGAGGGAGAGGGGAGTAGCATTTCCAGGGTTACCGATGACTAGGGGACAGGGACCGGGCCCCATGCACTGGGCAGACCAGGATCCACCAGGTGCCACCGACCCCCTCAGCCAGAAGGCAAGCGTGTGGCTGCACTAGACATAGACTGCGGTCACAGGGAGGCAGTCTCTTGCCCAGGGCCTCCCAGTCAAGCTGGTCCTCAGCCCTAAAGCTGGCATTCAAGGGGGCAGGGGCTTCATGCCAAACACTCTCCCTTCAGGAGCTGCGTGGAGCGCTTGTTAGAGCGTCCCGTGGGCAGCTCCCTGTCCTCTGTGTGATCCATCCACAGCGGGAACTCAACATACAAGCAGGGAAAGGCTCACTCAGACCTTCCAGAACGCTCTCCTGGCCTGGCTGACCGCCTGCAAGCCGCGCCCCTCCCGCTCCAGGCCTCAGGGCAGCTCTGGCTCTCAGCCTCTGCCCTAGCGCTCACCTTGCCCACACCCTCCGGCCTGCTTGCAGCAGCCCTGCGCCGCTGCTCCAGCTCAGTCTGCCATTTGCTCAAGTGTTTCTGTCTGTTTCCTCCATTTCCCTCTCCTCAGGCTCTTGCAGGCCACTAGAACACGTTTGTGGGGTTGCGTCTTAACTGGTGAGCAGTAGCTCTGTGGTTTCTGAGCTCACATGCAATCAAGACCCCAGGGTGAACGAACCTTGCATTGCTTCAGTGTGCTCATCAGCAGCCGTGGTGAAGCTCCAAGGGCTTGGAGATGCCCAACAAACAACACCAGCTCTGATGAAGCAGCCCTGAGCCGGGCACAGGGATGAGTGTGTCCCCCAAGGCACTGCACCTGCAGTCACCTCCATGTGACAGATGAGAACACTTGGCTCACACAGATGAAGTGACACCAGCACACACCCATCTCTTATTCTAGGACCTGATGGCATTGCTGCAGGCACCTCCCACAATGCCCCTGGCACCTCAACCTCAGACTCCCAGGAGCCGCTGCCAGGGCCTTTATCCCAGCAGAGGGCTCACCACTGGCCCGCCTGCCACATCCGCCTTCTCCTCTCCCCAGTGTGTCTGTCCACTTTCTCTGGTTCTCCTGCCACTGAGTGCCTTGGCCAGGCCGCCATCACCTCTTACCTGGGCTCCTCTGCTTGCCACCCTGCCCAGGTCTGCCAGGCGCTCTCCTGTGTGCACCCTGCAGCGCCCCCCCCCCCCCACCTCGGGAGACGGTTCCCACAGATGCCTCACCAGCCCCGGGGAGAGCTTGTTACAACACCACACTGCGCTCCCCACCCTGCCTTGGAGCCAGCAAGTCTGGGGAGGGGCCAACAGTCTGTATTTCTGACAAGTTTCAGTGGCTGCTGGTGCTGCTGGCCCACACTTTGAGAACCACTGACCTTGATCATGATCTCCAAGATAAGCGTCCGCCAAGGCCTCTTGGCCTCACCAGTCACTTCCCTGCACAAGTCACCTGAGCCACCTCTACCCCTAGTGCTGGATGAGACTCGCCTGGGCCCAACACTGAGATGCTGCCTCTGTCTTGATCAGCTGGCCCATGGCAGCTCAGAAACCACCAGTTACCTGATTGGTGTTTTAGTCTTAGGACGGGGCACCTCAAGAGCTGGATCCGCATCCAGTCCACTCCTGGTAAAGGCCGGCCAGTCCCCAAAATGTCACTAAGAAAGAAGCCATGGCCTAGCTCCCCTGGCTCCTGGCTTGCAAATGGTGTCTTATAAGCAAACCGTGAGCCTGTGCAATGGTCCAAAGGAAAAGACCACATGGAGGCAGACGCCAGAGTGGAGAGAAAATCCCCACAGAGGAGACAAGGCCTGGGCGTGAGGCTTCCGTGAAGAGGCAGGGGCTCGCAGCAGGACACAGAGGGCAGAAGCAGTGTGTGGTGTGGTGTGCAGGGCCGGGTAGTGCCTGTCAACCAGTCCCGTGGGCCTCACACACACCAGGCAAACACTGGTCTCCCTACATTGTCTCCTGCTGACTCAGGAGGCGCCGGCCCTCAGCCCTTCCACAGACAAGGATGTCACAAGGCTCAACAAGGAGCTGGTCCAGCCCAGGCCAGGGCAGTGGTTGGGAGGCCCTGGCAAAACCCCCAGTCCTGGCAGAAAGGGCATTTCAGGGTGGTGCCGGGAGCGTTTTTATACCCCTGCCCCTTGAAGATCAGAGAGAGGAGGAGGCTTGTCCCAGCTCCCAAAGTCACAACCATTTGCAGGTGGGCCAAATACCCACCGGGCACCTGTTATCTCATCGGTACACCAGTCAGGAACTGGGGACTTGGGAAGTGGCAAACAGGAGTGCAGAGACGGTGGCCCCAGTGGGCCTGTGGGTAGAAAGGCCTTCCTCAGGCCAGTGTCCACTGCACTCGTGTCTGCGCCTTCCAAGGGCCATCAGAGACCAGACTCCTGCACCCAGACCCCAGACCCGTGGTCCTCCGGGGCCTCCATCCCTTTCCAGCATGGATGTAATTTCTGTCCTTTTGAGGGAGCTGCCGTATGCCGTGTGGGGGATGTGATGATGAGACCCTCTTAGGGGGCAGCTGTGTAGCGCTGAGGGGAGCTCTGGCTTTGGGTCCTGCTTCTGCCCTAACAGGGTAGGTCAGGGGTGATGGGGTTTATCTGGCACAGCCCCGATGATGGACATGGCACCACTTCCAGCCCAGGGTACATGGCTACACCTGACCAAACCGAATGCCAGCATCTCGCCGGCTGCCCCTTTGGAGGAATCCTGCCATGTATGTGGGCTGGGGGCTGGGCAGCAAAAGCTGGTCTTGGTATACCACGGCCCAGGGGTCTCTGATTCATTACCCCCAGGCTAAACCCAGTCCACGGATGTGTTTTGTTGGCTCATGACCTATCTTAAACTAGTCCAGTGCACTGTCAATGTGAAAAACTCAGATTGCTGCATAAGGGTCTTGGATGCCGGGCTCACCTTGAGAACTGGACCACCATCAGGCCACAGAGCCCAGAACCAAGCACGAGCTGCAGGGCTCCCAGCCCTCACTGCTTGTCTCACCCAGAGAGAAAATGGAGGGAGGGAGGGAGCGGAGGGAGGGGGAAGCCAGCTCGGCAGCGGCGCAACCCTAAGCATGGCAGGAGGGGGAGAGAGTCTGGCTGGTTTTGCTGGAAGAAAGAAAGGGATGCTGGGGGCTGAAGGCCAATCCTGAGGGGATCTCACTGCATGGTGGAGTGGGAAGGGAGGGGAACCACGCTCCTGAGAGGCCTCCACAGTCCCTTCCTGCCTGGGTTACAGGACAAGTGCACAGCAGGTGGAAAGAGTCACACTGCAAACCTGGCCTCCTGGCCCTGCCACTTCCTGGTTGTGTGACCTTGGGCGAGTCATTGCCCCCCCCCCCGGAGTCTTTCACCGCTCAAATGGCAATGACTTACCTTGCCTGACTGTAAGAGCTAGGAGAAAGTGGACGCAGGGTGCACGAGCCAGGTCTCCCACAGAGCAGGGCCAGAGTGAAAAGAGCGCCCGGAGCTAGTTCTAAAGGCCTCCTTCCAGTGGGGGAAGCCGGGCACCTTCCACTGAGGGCACCTTATGCCCAGCCCTCAAATGTCTCTACCACCAGTCACCTCTGGTGCCCAGCACACCTCCCCAGCAGTGGCTGTGGTCTCTGGGGTGGTGCATCCGAAGCCTGTGGCCGGGCCTGGCATCTGCTGAGTCAGCCTGAGAGGGCTGGCAGGAGGGCGCTTTCTCTCCAGCACACTGCCCGCCTTGCAGAGGGGAGCCTGGGAGGGAAGCCAGAGATCACTTCCTCTGACTCAGCTGCCTGTCTCCCGCCAGAGGAGCTCCCCTGGAGGACCGGCCACCTCCATGTGGCGCTGGCCTCCGTGCCGGCCAACCTGCACACCACCCGGAACAGTCGAGGCATTGTGTTCCCACAAGAAAGGGGCACTTGTAATCCAGACAATGAGCTGGGTGGCTCCTATCTGGCCTGGGCTTCAGCTTCCCTGGGTCAGCAATGTCCTTTCCTCGGCTCCTGCCCACCCCAGGTCCACCCCTCCCTCGGGAGAAGTGTGGCCAGGCCCTGGGAGCCGAGCTCCACTGCCAGCCCGGGCGGCGGTTTTGGCACACGCCTTGGCCCTGAGGTGGAGGGATGTGAGTGTCTTCCCTCTCCCCTGGTAGGGAACAGCGCCTCTGGGGAATGCAACTTGGCCAGGCCCCGTGGCCGTGGCCCGCAGATGGCCAGGCGGCAGAGAGCCCTGATAGTTGGTAGGGATGGTGGGGGTTATGGGGCCCAGACTCGGCCCCTCCTCCCGTGGCAGGCCCGAGGTCTGGGCCTCCTCCACGTTTGCAGCCACCCCAGGAGCCCTGCGGCGACGACTGCAGCCACGTGGGAGCCAGCTCGTGCCCACGGAGACGCTCGCCCCCGCCCTGGCCGGGCTCGGAGGCAGGCACACCCTGACCAGGTCGGAGGGACGCCGTCCCCCGCCCGGCGCCCACCCGCGCCCCGGCGCTGTGGCCCCGCGTGGGGCGGGGGAGGGGGCGTCGCCATCCCACAGTCGCGTTGCCGGGGAGCGCAACCCCGTTGCTGTGGCAACGGTTTCCAAGCGAACTGGTGGCGGCTCGCGCCCCGTTCGGGCTCCCTCGCTCACTGGCGCTCTCCCTCCCTGCCTCCCTCCAGTGTGGGCTGGGGGAGGGGCTCCCGGGACCAGGCGGGGGTCCGGGGAGGCGACCCCGGGCCCAGGCGCGGAGCCGCCCGCGGGGAGGGGTTCAGCCACCGGACCATCTTCCGCCCGCGCTCCGTGCCCGCCCGGCCCGCAGCCGCCGCGGTACTCACGGGCCCGGGCATCCTTCTCGAGCTCGTCTCCTCCTGGCTCGAAGCGAGCAGCTCAGCGGACAGAGCCCTCGATCTGAGGGAGACGGCGGCGGCGGCGGCGGCGGCGGCGGTAGCCCCGGGGAGCAGGCGGCGGCAGCGAAAGCGGCTCCCAGCGCTGGGCTGGCGGCGCGGGGCGCGCGCACGGGCGCGTACACGGCGCGTGCCGAGCCCGGCGTGCGCGCGCGCGGCCGCCAGCAGAGGGCCCCCCACCCCCAGCCACACGCCGCGGAGGCGGCCGCTCCGGGAGCCCAGGGGACGACGCGACCCCCCACCCAGCACGCCGAGACCAGGCACCCGGGAGTCCTGGTCGCGCCCCCCGAGGGCAGCAGGCATGGCGAACGCGTACGCAACAGGCTGTCCGGCCGCACACAGGGATCGTACACGCGGGGTGTCCAGCCTTGCGGCTGAAGCCAGATTCCCGACGTGCACACGGCTCAGCCCGAAGAGCACACGTGCAGCGAGCAGGGGTTCCAGCAGGCCGGCACGCCGCCGGTTCCGTTCTTCCTCACCTCTAGGGCCCTCCCGCTGTGTCCCCCGCAGCCATACATCCCCGCATACCTATAGGAAGTAGCACAGGCAGGAGGACTTGGTGCTCAACCAGTAGGCCCGGCTCCCACGGACGTGCTCACCCCAGGACAACAGAGAAGACCCCTCTGTCGACCCTGACTTGAGTCTGCCTGTCGTAACTGGGTTCCACTCTGCCTTCTCTACAGCTTTGGTGGGACTTTGAAAACACCCGCCACCATCACATCAGTTGGCGCATTATGGGTTGCAGTCCCCAAGAGTTTCTGGGTCACACAAGTACAGTTGATTCCAGGTGTTCCAGCAATGGCAACAAGCCTGAGTTTGCTTCTCTCCACTGCTTGCTTTCCCGTTTGCCTTGTCCTTAGGCAAGTTCTCCCCAGGCTGTGGCAGGGGTCACCTCCACAGTTCTGAGCAAACCAAAAATACCCACAAATGACTCTGGACTGCTGGCGAGCGGCCCTTAGTGAACTAATCCCCATGGCCATGCCGGGGGGAGGGGGGGGCGCTATGTGCTCGACATGGAATGGCCATCCCGTATCCATTCCCTTCCCTCTGGGCACAAGCGCTCTGACTTCTTGGACAATCATTGCCCGCCCTCTCCCTGCCCCACTGTCACCATGGACCCATATGCTCTACTCCCCAAGCACAGCATGGGCGGCCTGGCCATTCGGACTCCTTGGGTTTGAAGTTGAGCGCCACGGTGCAGACAGAAATGGCTGTAGCATCTCGCTTCTGATCATGGCTTGGTGAGAAGGAGGTCTGCAGCTAAGACCCCGGAACAACTTCAGTTGTCTAAGCCCCCACACAGCCTTTGAACACTTCGGAAGAGCTGGAGGATGGGACTGTCACTTGGAACACTCCCACTTGGGTCACACCACCTGGGTGGGTGTGGGGCTAACTATATGCAAGCTCAGAGACCTTTCTCTCTGTCTCTCTCTCACTGTCCACTCTGCCTGTCAAAAATAAAAAAATATATATGCAAGCTCAGGTGCATCTAGACCTCATGGATGGGGAGTGAGAGTTCTCCAAAACAAACTTGGGGTGCATCTGTAGATGCCAGGGCAGACACCCCACACAGCCAGTGAAACCTGCAGAGTCCCCCACCACCTTCCAGGGGAGGCCCTGAGTTCTGGGTGCAGCTTTCAGCTTTCTCACTAACAGCTGTGGCCACACCCTCCAGCCCACAGTCAGCCATCAACCGCTGGAGGCCTTTGGCCACCCATCTGTCCTGTGTCCCAGATGGCACCAACCTGACAGTCTTGTGGCCTGCTTGGTACTGCTCGCCGGCCCTGCCAGCTTGACTCCTCTGCCACGGCACTCATCACCTGGGAGCCCACTGCCGGCACCTGCCTCCCTACCAGGCTGAGCTCCAAGCTAGTGGCGCCTCATCTCCATAAGGGTCCCCCTGCTCCCACCACAGAGCTGGGTGGGGAGGAGATGAGCTCCAGGAGGGCTTGTTGGGAAATGCACTCTGCCAAGGATCCACCAGGATAAGATCCAAGGTGAGCCTACCCCTTGCCAAGAAGCTCCCCGGATGCCTCCCTGGCCTGAGGAGCTTGGTGGAAGGGTCTGCATCCCTCACAGGGCAAGCACTGAGTCCTGCACGTACACCTGGTACCACTCACCTTCACACACCTGCCCAGGGCGGGGCTTTGGCCATGCGTGCTAATACCTACCTAACCACCACATCCTCACCCCCCAAACAGCCTGCAGTTGGTGGTGGTTGGTGTCTCAGACCCCAGCCTCACAGCTTATGAGCTACACCCAGCATTTCATCTTCCCCTGCCTTTCCCTCCAAACCACAGTGGCCACTTGCCAGCTGCAGGAGCCTGAGCAGCCCCTGTCCCCCACCCCCTCCCTGCCTCAGCACCATTTCCCTCCAGTTGATGAAGAGGCTGCAGGTACCGCATCAGACGACCCCTTCTCCTCACCCTCAAGATGGCTGTCAGAGTGGCACCTGGTACCCAACCCCCAGACAGCCGAGTCCTGGATTCTCACAGCTGCCCCTGAGATGAGGGGCCTTATGCATCTTTCCAAGGGGAAAGCCTGTGCAAAGCCAGCTGAAGTGCCGAGCTGGGGTTTGGACCCAGAACTGTTGACACTGAAGCTCACATGCCCAGCCCAGAGGTCAAGAATAAAATGGTGGTTGCTGAGCATCCTGGGCGGGGGGAGGGAAGTAGGGGAACCCAGGGAGTCGCTGGAGCAGATGGGTTTGCAAAGTCTGGGACAGACTTGGGCTGAAAAACTCTCACCCCCAGGTGTTTGCATAGGTGGTTCCCCCAATTAGGGTTCTCCCTAATCCGTCTTTGTCCACCAGACAACTGTCTCCTTCAAGGCCAGGTTCAATCGCTACCCTCAAAGAACCTTCCACGATGCCCATGTGGATCCTCTCCCAGCGCAGCCTTGTGCCCAGCAGCGTTCCCACCTTGGAGGTCTTTGCTCATTCACACTTCAGTGTTTCAAGGGGTGGGTTTACTACATGTGCACCTGCCCAGGGCCAGGCATCCAGGTGAAGAAAGACCTGGAGCAGCAGCTCCCCAGGGCCACTCCAAGTTCACACTGGGCAGCCAAACCCACCTTGGCCTTGGAGGAGAAGACATCAGCTGGGTCTTCCTTTCTGGCACTCAAGAGAGACCTACATCCCAGCAGGTACCCAAGGCTTCTTTCTTCTGGTCCTGTCCCATTTGGGAACGTGGGAAACCATCAGGGTAGCCCAGGGACAAAGGCTTGGCTGCCTGGAGCAGCTCCTCTAAAGTCAGCCTAATGGCTCCTGGGCACCCTGCTTCCAACCTCCTCCCCCTTCCAGCTGGGCCAGGGAAGCAGGAATACCCCTGGAGCACAGAAGCAATGAGGCAGGCAGGGGCAGCTGGCCAGGTTTGTGCTCGGACTGTATTCACACAGAGACACGTGGCAGCTTAACATTGGACAAAAGGAGTAATAAAAATTGGCTTTAAATATGGAAAAACCAAGGCCCTGTCATCCCATCTACCCTAACACTGGGACCAGGTAGGCCATCACAGTCTGGGAAGGGCCTGGGCTGGGGCCTGGGCGCAGGCACAGCCTCACCCTAGCCCAGCACACACACATCGACACACACACACACACACACACACACACAGAGGCGGATTATTGCTGGGCACGTGTGTCTACAGTTATGAGGGGAGTTCGGAATGTCAGGGTCAGCCAGGCCACCCCGCCTCCTCCTGCAGTCTAGGCTGGGGCGCTTCTGCCAGAGGTGTCTGCAGGACAGAGCAGCGCCCAGGGAGCTGGAAGGCAGTGGTAGACTGTCTGCGATGCGACAGCTTGGGCAGTGGACTGATGGGTCCCACAGTCACCCAGTCACTGGCCACATTTTGGCCCAGGCCGAAAGGGACAACAGGAGCCCCAGACCCAGCTGTGACAAGCATGGAGAATGGACAGTGTTGGGTCCCAGAAGGTGGCAGCCTGAGCCCGGGCCAGCAGGGGTAGGCACGAGTCTCACTTGGAGGTCGGTGGTGCCCAGCGCGGTGCTGGGGGCTTGGGGTCAGGCCTGGCTCAGCCTTGGCCCATCTCAGCTGGACCTGAGGAGCCCCGAGTTTGGCATCGGCTCCTCTGCCAGCTCTCGGCTCTCCCAGCCAGGGCAGTCTGCTCCGGGGAGCCGAGACCAGGCCACGGTCCAGGGAGGGAATTAAGAACGCTCTTCCTATATACATTCGTACAGAGACATAAATACAGACAGCCCCGAGCTCTGTGGGAGAGCCCCGGGGACGCACCTTTGTCCCAGGAATGGCCCAGGCCTCGCCAGACTCAGCCAGGCTGGGGCCGAGGGGCGGACGCTGGGGACAGCTCCGGCTGTGTTCCCCAGGCCATGACTTGAGTGGACAATGGGGAAGACCACTGTGCAAAACTGTAAACAGCACTCGGAGTAGCTGCTACCGCCAACCGCCGGTAGGGACCTCTGGCTGGGGGCTAGAGGCGGGTGGGGGGCTCGAGGCGGGTGGGGGGCTCTTCTTCACTGTCGCTGCAGTTCCCACAGCAATCCTGGATGGACAGGGGAGACACGGAGGGAGAGAGGCAGAGCGTGTGCTGTTAGCCACCAAGTGGGGGGGCACCACTCCCGGGGAGGGGGGGTCACGCCTGGGGAGGAGGCTCCTTGAGAGGGGCTGAGCAAGCTGCTGGCATGGGCTGAAGGAAGCGGGGCTAGGCAAATCCCAAGTTGCACCAGGGGAGGGCCTCCATCCAGCCCTTCCCCAGGGGGCTGGTAGATGCAAGCTCACAGCTGGAAGGGGCCAGGGTGCAGGGGACTGCAGCAGTGGGGTGGGAAGGGGAGGGAGGAAGCGGGCACCAGACTTCTTTCTCCCACATCTCGCCTCTGCCATGGAAGGGCTGCCCGGGGCTCCCCGAGGCCAGGCAGCAAGGCCAACCCACGGGGAGCCCACACTGCTCACCTCTGGAAAGAGAAAAGAGGCCATGAGCCCAGCCTGGGGTGGGGGGGCAGGCGGGCACGAGGCCAGAGACCCCGGGCACCACTGGCAGCGCTAGAGGATGCCCACTCCCAGCGCATGCGGGCACTGGCTCTGCCTCCCGCTCACCACCCTTTGCAGCTAGGCTGGCCCAGGGTGGGTTACCTGGCGACTGAAGAGTCTCTGCAGCAGGCCCTTTTTGGGGGGCGCCGGTGGCTGGCCCTTCCAGTCCAGGTCTGGGGGAACCGAGCCGTCCAGCCCAAAGACATTGAGCTCCTGGAAGCACTCCGTCTCCACCATCTGCTGAGGCACAGGCAGTGTGAGGGCTGCCCCCAGGCCTGCTGCCCCCTCCACCCCGCCCCGAGGCACCCTACCCGTGGGCAGGCCCCACCTCGTTCTGCCAGGGGATGGGCACACTCCCTGTGGCAAACTTCTGGTAGAAGTCCTGGTCTGTGGGCTCCAGCTCCACGCCCTTCACTGTGGAGAACTGTTCGATGTCCAGAACATCCTTGCAATAAATAGCCTGGGGCTGGGGGTGGAGGCAGTGGTCAGATGGGAAACACACACCCACATACACACACCTGCATGCGCACGCCCAAGAGGGCAGCTCAGCCCTGAGTCTTCCTCCAGCCTTGGCCTGGTTCTGCCCTGATGCTGGTTTGGAGTGAGAAGCGGGGTGCCCCACGCACCCCCCCAAGCACAGCTGTTCCTTCTCTGGAGCCCAGTCTCCCCTCAGTCCTCAATGATCAGTGATTGTGTACAGGCCCGATGCGGGGCCACCCCCTGCTCCCACTGTTGTCGGGGATCTGCAGCTGGTGACGGGAGCCCAGGCTGAAGCAGGTTGGTGCCTTGGGCTGAGCAGCCCCCTGCAAGGGCCTGGGGCAGGTGCATCGTGCTCCGGGATATCTGTGGCTTTCTGTTCCCACTCACAGTTGATCAAAGAACTGGAACGGTCCTCTGGCCCCTCTCTCCTCCCAGCCCCGTGCCGGGAGCCTACCGCAGCTCCACAAGGCCACCTGCCTTCTCATCTCCATGGTCTTTTCAAAATCCTGCTATTAAGGATGTCGATGAGAATATAGTTGTCGTCTAAGAGGGACATTACTTTGGAAAGCAGTCTGGCAGTCTCCCCAAAAGGTTAGCACTCAGTTATCACACGACCGAACGATGCTACTCCCCAGCGTGCCTCAATATCTGCCCACAGATATTCACAGTATCAGTCACAACTGTGAAAAAAAGTGGGAATGACCAGTGTACACATAAGCACTCTGGTACTCTCCCTACAGTGGGCTAGTATCGGGCCTGAGAAAGGAACGGGGACCCACCTGCCACACGCAACTGCACGGGTGAATTTTAAAGACCTGCTCAGAGAAGTGAGTCACACAGCACCTGAACTGTGTGCCTCCATGGATGCGAAATGTCCAGAACAAATGCTTATAGAGGCAGAGAGTAGATTAGTGACTGCCAGGGGCCAAGGAGAGGGGGGAATGGGGAATGATGGCTAAGGGTTTTTTTTGGTGGGCGATGAAAATCTTCTAAAATACATTGTGATGATGGTCGCACAACTGAGAACACGCTAAAGACCGTGGGATTGTAGGGTACGAACAGCTGAACTGGATGGGATGTGGCAGTCAAGCTTGGGTTTTTTGTCTACTGCTACTAGAGGGTTAAACTCAGGGCGCTGCTTGTGTCTAACTTTGAGGAAAGGTTCAGAGACAGCCTGATTACTTCAGAGTTAAGGGAGTGGGGCAGAAACTTGAGTAGCGGCCCCCACCGCTGGGGCGGGCTGATGGAAGTCAGGCTCGCTGGGTCCCAGGGAGGTCTACTCTGGGGGATAATCACTCAGGGGCCGCAGCGCCCCACCCCAGCTCTTCCCCACTCACAGCCTATATGGCCCACTGCACACACCTCCCACACCTGCTGAAGATCCCCCATGGCTCCTGGTCATGCAGAACATAGCACCCTCTTCCTCCCTGCACCTGCCGCTCCAGCCATCCTGGAGTTCCACCTCACAAGGCTGCTTTCTGCCCCGCGACCTCCCTGCCTGGGGTCTTCAGGCCCCAGATCTCAGCATGGCTCTCTCTACATATTTTCAGCTTCTGCTGAAGCATCAGTTCCTCAGAGAACCCCCTCGCCCCGTCTAAAAACACTCCACCCTCCTGCCCTGCCACCATTCTGTCTTCCTGGCCTCTTTATTTTATTACACTGAGTGCCACCTGAAACTCTTCTGTGGTTATTGGTTTATTTTTGCATGTCTCCCCATCAGGGCAGGACCAGGTGCACATACGGGCACTCAGATATTTGTCCCATGAGTAAACAGACACGTGATCTGCCCATCACCTTCTGGCTTCTCTAGTGGTTCTGGTGAGCTATCAATCACAGGACCCAGTCCCTACAGACATGGGAGGTGGCAAGCACATGACCTAATTTTGGCCAATCAGAGCCTTCCCTGTGACTTTACACACAGAGAGCCTGGATTCAGTGGGAGGGATTGAGTCAATGGGTTGAAGTAGAGCTGAGGGCTAGAGAGTCCTGGCAACACAGTGTGGAGTCCTGGGGTTGGCCCTGTTCTGGGACTCTCTGGCCAAATGGACCAGTCTACTCCATGTTGGGCTTAAGTAAGTCTGAACTGGATTTCTGCCACTTGGAATCAGATGACTGAAAGGCATTCTTGCCTGCTGGGGACCTGACCCACCAAGATGCTCAGTCGTGGTCCAAGTAGGCACGTGATCCGGGTGTGGCCCTGAGGGTCCTCTGAGCAGTTGGAGGCAAGGAGCATCAGCCTTAGGACTCCCCCTGCTCCTGCCTGGAGGCTTCCTTTTGAAATTATTGCACAAGAGGTGCTGTCTGCTAGGGTGGCCACACTGGCAGGATGTGGGCCCGAGCTGTTGGGGGCTGCCATTGTCACACCCCAGGGAGCACTGCCTGAGTCAAGATCACACACTCAATGGTGCAGTGGGAGACACAGCATCCCTCCGCCACTGTCGTCAGCGGCTCCCCCCTCCTCCATTTGACTATGTCAAAACCCAGACCTCTCTTGGGGCTTTTCATTTTGTGAGGCCAGGGGATTTTCTCTCTTTTTTTGGCTGAGCCATTGGATTGGGTTTCCTATCACTCGCCAGTGTTAGGAACATGGCCTGACCCAAGCTTCAAGTACTCCCCACCCTGGCTCGGCCGTGGCTTCAGCAGAGCGGCCACTCACGTCAGGCTTGAAGGGCGGCTCCAGCATGCCAGCTCCCAGCCGCTTGAAGTTCAGCTTCTTGAAGAGGGGGTGCTCCTTCACCTCTCGGGCAGCACCCCCGCGGCAGCCCAGGCGCTCGGCAGGGTCTTTGCAGAGGAGCTGTGGCAGAGCAGGCAGGGGCCGTCAGGGTGCCCTGGCGCGGGGCGAGGGGCCCCAGCTGGTCAGGCCTCCCACCGTGGCCATACCTGGGAGCAGAGCGAGCGGGCCTGCGGGGAGAAGCGCTCCGAGTACTCCTCGGGCACTTCCCTCACCAGCCGTTCTACCTCCTCCCGCTTGATCTTCTTCTTCCTCTGCTGGAAGGGCGACTGGCCGGCGATCATCTCATAGAGGAGGCAGCCAAGCGCCCACCAGTCGGGGCTGAACGTGTACCGTTCGTTCTTCACCACCTCCGGAGCTGAGGAGGCAGCGTGCAGTTAGGGCTGGTGCCAGGCAGGGGACGAGCCCCGAAGGCCCCTAACTGGGGGCTCGACTCAACACCCACTAGCCACGCCGGTACTGTGGCTTGAAGGAGACCCAGGCAAGTAGGAGAGCACGTGTCCCACCAAAGGGAACTGTTGGGGCACCACTCGGGAATCCACGTCCCATATCGGAGTGCCCGGTTTGAGTCCCGGCTCCTCCGCTTCCCACCAGCTTCCTGGTAATTCACTCGGGAAGCAGCGCATGGTGATCCAAGTATTTGGGCCCTGCCACCCATGTGGGAAACCCAGTTGGAGTTCTAGGTTTCTGGTTTTAGCCTGGCCCAGCCCCGGCTGTTATAGGTATTTGGGGAGCGAACTAATAAATGGAAGACACTCCCACACATATCCTGTTTCTCTGTTACTCTGCCTTTCAAGTAAATAAACAAATAAAAATATAAAAAACAAGGGAACGCTAATGCAACCCCACAATGAATTCCTAGGTCTTCTGAGTTTTTAAGAAAAGTCAGAGGGGCTGGCGCTGTGGTGCAGTAGGTTAAGCATCTGCCTACAGCACCGGCATCCCATATGGGCACTGATTCGAGTCCTGGCTGCTCCTCTCTTGATCTAGCTCTCTGCTATGGCCTGGGAAAGCAGTAGAAGATGGCTCCTGCACCTGTGTGGGAGACCTGGAAGAAGCTCCGGGCTCCTAGCTTTGGATAGGCAGAGCTCCAGCCGTTGTAGCCATTTGGGGAGTGAACCAGTTGATGGAAGACCTCTCTCTCCATCTCTCCCTCTCTCTGTCTGTAGTGCTGCCTCTCAGTAAATAAATAAACCTTTAAAAAAAAGTCAGAAATCCATCCTTTTTCTGTGAAGGTGTCTGGCTGACTAAGTTAGCAACTGTTCTTAAAAAAAAATTTGATTTAGGGGGGCCGGCACCATAGCTTACTAGGTTAATCCTCTGCCTGCAGTGCCGGCATCCCATATGGGCACCGGGTTCTAGTCCCTGTTGCTCTTCTTCCAGTCCAGCTCTCTGCTGTGGCCTGGGAAAGCAGTGGAGGATGGCCCAAGTGCTTGGGCACCTGCACCTGCATGGGAGACCAGGAAGAAGCACCTGGCTCCTGGCTTCGGATCGGTGTAGTTCCAGCCATAGCAGTCATTTGGGGGGGGGTGGTGAACCAATGGAAGGAAGACCTTTCTCTCTATCTCTCTCTCTCACTGTCTAACTCTGCCTGTCTAATAAAAAAAGTATAAAAATTTTTTTATTTAAAGACAATTCTAGGCCAAACTGGACCCATCTTGCTACCAGTTTCCTGGATTTCCTAGGGGAGAGAAGGAAGGAAGAGACTCCTCTTTGCTGGACACCTGCTACCTGCCAGGGCAGGTGCATGGGCGTTTCCCTTTGCTGCCTCCTTTTATCTCAAGGCAATCCTGATTGTTTTACAGTCATAGAAAGTGAGGCTGGGAGCCGTGTCTGGCCTAGGGGCTGGGTGACAGGCAATAGTCAGAGCCTGCAGAGCTGCGACTCTCACACGGACCCCAAGGGGAACATGGGGCCGCACCTGGGCTCCTGCACCGATGGATGCGCCCACCTCGAGCGCGGGCAACTCAGGGCAGAGGGCAGAGCTCAGGCTATGGAAATGGCCTCAGTTCTTCTCCTCGATTCACTGGTAGCCCTGCTAAGCCCATATTTAGTGAATGAATGATATGGACTTACAACTACGCAGCTAAGTCTCGGTCTACTGATGAAGGGGGAATGCCAGCACCAGCCCTCTGGGTTCTAGGAGACATGGGAGGCTCCCACACAGAAGGCAGGCAGGGGACGACTCACCCATGTAGCCCACGGTGCCTACGCGGCCTTTGATGGTCTGGCCCTCGGGCACGTGCACAGCCAGGCCCAGGTCAGAGATGCGGATGTGGCCTGTGTGGGCAGGACGGGGCAGGCGCTCATTCATGGGCCAGGCCTCCCCTAACCTCCCCTTCCCCGCCCCCAGGGGCCCCCACCCACCGTGGTCATCCAGCAGAATGTTCTCTGGCTTCAGGTCTCTGTGGGGAGAGAAGGGCAGGATCAGAAGCTGTTTGGTTCACTAGGGAGCCAGGTGGCACCAGCCCCACCGAACTCACTGGCCTCCTGGGACTGGGGGGACGGGACTTGTTGGTTGCTGGGGCCGCAGACAGCCCTGCCCTCCCCAACGGCAGCCCTAACTCACGGGAGCAGAGATCTGCTGAGCCATGACTCCCTGGGGAAAGGCGCCTGCCACACAGGGGGGTTCTCTGGTGTCCCAGCAGCCTTGTCCATCCCTGGGGTCGAGGAGCTGACTCTACCTTTCCTGTGTGTCCATCCCCTCGTGGGGCTGTTGAGACCCCCGCCCCCAAGCATCCCATGCCCCCGTGACCCAGCCCAGTGCACCTGCTCCGTGTGGGAACTCTGTCTACCACACTATCTCACCCAGCTCCTCCACCAATCTCAAAGGTGGGAGCCATATACTCTGTTTCCTAGAAAAACAGCACTGGGGGTTGGGAGCACACAGAGAGGGCTGACAGAGCTGGGTGTCGTCCCAGAGTCAAACAGACCCCAAAGGCGACATGTGACCGACCTACTCAAGTCTGCCAGGTGCCCCGCCCCCAGGATTCTCCCACTACCTGGCCTGACCAGCAGGTGGCAGCTCCTGGCTGGGAAGGGTGGCACCTGCGCCCCCCTCACCTGTACACGATGCGCTCCCGGTGCAGGTCCTCCAGGCCGCAGCAGATTTCCGCGGCGTAGAAGACGGCGCGCGCCTCAGGGAAGCCAGCCTGGCCCATGTGGTAGATGTGGAACTTGAGGTCGCCGCCGTTCATCAGCGTCAGCACCAGGCACAGGGCATCCTTGGTCTCATAGGCATAGGCCAAGCTCACCTGTGGTGGAGGGGACCCGTGCCCTCAGGTGGGATCTGAGGAGCCACACGGTGGTGGGGCTAATGCCAGCCACCCCCGCTCCCGCCTCTTCCAAGTCCTGGGTGCCTCTCCTCAATGCAACAGCTCAACACCCCAAACCTGCTTTCCTCAGGGTAGGGAGGCGGGGCCTGGAGGGGGCGGGGCAAGGGAAGGTCTCCTTTCGTACTTACTACAAACCTACTGTTCACTTTCTCCAGGATCTGCTTCTCGTTGAGCGCCATGGCTTCCCCTTTCCGCTTCTTGATGCGTTTCTTCTCCAGCTTCTTGCAGGCGTACATCTTGCCTGTGGCCCGCACCTGGCAGGCACACACCTGGGGCCAAGGTAGACAGGGGCAGATAAGGGCCAGCCATGCCCTTGTTGCCGGCTGGTCCAGGACCCAACCTACATGGGGGCCAGGGCTCCTGGTCCGTCTACTCACCTCCCCAAAGCCGCCTTTGCCCAGCACTCGGTACTGCCTGAAGGTGTTTTTGGTCACTGGCTGCCTGCAGGCAAGGGGCAGGGGAAGAATTGTTAGCTGAGCAGGGGTCCGAGGCCCGTGAGGAGCCCCAGCCACCTGGTCTACCCCAGCCCTGCCACTGTTTCACCTTTCTAGCCACTTCCACTGCAGGAAACGGTTGAAGTAGATGCTGTCGAGGTAGTCGGCAAAGGGGGCTACGCTCAGGTACTCGTGGGTCAGCCTGGCGAGGGAAAGCCCAGCCCCGTGGTCAGCACCTGACACCCTGACTTGGCAGATGGGCCAGCCCTCCTGATCACTCCCCCCAAGGTAGGCAGACACGCATGCTGGGCTGACACAGCAAAGGCAAGGGTGAGGTGTGCGACCGGGAGCTCCTTCGCAGGAGTTGTCCACAGCCTTTTGCGTGCCCGGCAGCCCCTCCTTGGGGCGCGATGCCAGGCAGGTGGGCGGTGGAGGCGGGGGGAGGCTTTACCGGGTGAGTTCCTGGAAGAGGTCTTTGCAGGGCCCCTGCTCCAGTTGCTGTGCACAGTTAGTCACCAGTTGCCGGGGCACCTCGGGGATGAGGTCAGGACCCTGGGGACAGACCACAGACAGGTCGCTGCAGGGGGATCCCGGGCATGGAGGCTTACTCCCAGGGTGGCGATGCCAGCTAGCTCAGGCTAGTGCCAGCGGCGGCTGCAGGCCAGCCAGCGGCGCCCCAGCCTGTCCAGCAGCTGAGCTCCCTTCCTGCCACCCCCAAGCGAAGTGAAGCCCTACTGCTGGCAGCCCGCCTGGCCCCACGCCGGCCCGCCCGGGCTCCCTGCCTGCAGCCTTGCTTGGAGAGGCTCCAGGGCACTCTCTGCCCAGGCTGTGGTCACTCCTCTCCCTGCCCGCTGCCGTCATCTCTCCATCACTGCTCGCTCACCGTGTGGCTCAGAAAATCCTGCATTAGCCGCCGCCCACACGCCTTCCGCTTCTCATCAGGGGTCACTTCGTACTCAGCCTGCAGAGCGGGAGGCACAGAAGCGTGGGGTCTGGGCGGAGTGACAGGGGTGGGGGGACACGGGCCCTGGGCGGCTGGGTTGGGCCACTCACCACCCCGTCCAGGAAGGCAGTGCAGCGGGTCAGCTCGGGCCTCGTGGCGCAGAACTCGCGGAACAGCAGGCGGCCGATGGGCTGCCGCTCGCACAGGCTGTGGTAGTCACGTTCTGCAGGCACAGATCGGAGCTGCTGGGCTTGCAGCGGGGGCCACCGGTGGGGTGGGTGCTCCAGCCCACGGGGCCCGGGCCTCCCCACCAGCCCCGTGCACCCACAGGCATCACTGTCATTGCCAAGAAGCCCAGAGAGGGTGGCTGCCTAGCTCAGTGGTGTACAGCCTGCGAGCCCAGGCCTTCTCTCCCCTTGCCCGTGGTCTCCGGGTTCACACTTGTGTATGTCACGGTGCTGGGGCTGGGTGTGGTCTGTGAGGTTCCGCGAGTCCGGGGCCAGGCCCACACCTGTTGCCTGCCTGGCGAAAGTGCGGGAGGAAGCTGTGGCTTCCGGCACACTCTCGGCTGGGCCTCCTTCCCAGGCGGTGGGAGCGGCACACTCTTGGCCCACGTGCGGGGCCATCAGAGGCAGCCTGGGCAACCTTGCGTGCTGCTGAGACCTGGTGCGTTGGCCAAGAGAAGCAGGAACTGGGGCCCTGGGCGCTTCTGTCCCCCTCCCAGAAGTAAGCCGGTCACACTACCCAGGCTAAGGGCTAGATGGGTGGCCAGGCAAAGCCAATGGCTTCCAGAGCAGGCCACCTGGGGCTGCCGCTCTCTCTCAGACTGCCCCCAATCTGCCCCTCCCTTCCCCCACCCCCACACTTTGGCTCACCCCAGGCAGTCCCTCTCTGCTCTCTGCCCTCCACCCACACCCCAAGCCCAGGAACTGAAACCGGGCTGGGTGGTGTAGCCTCAGTCTTCCTGCCTGCTGGACCCCCGGTCTTGCCCTTTGCCCCAGGGCAAGGTCTCATGGGAGGCTGCCCGCCCCGCCCCTGCCCCCAGCTGGTCCCCGGAGCCTCCACGCCCCAGCCTCCGCCCAGGCCTCACCAAGGCTGAGCCGCAGCTCTTCACACTGGCTGATGTGGGGAAATTGGAGCATCTGCCGCCATTTCTTGCTTTTGCCTTTGCGATTCCCTCCACCACCTGCGGGAGTGAGCAGGCACCGGGTCTCGAGGCCGCTGAGCCCACCAGCCGAGGCCCTGCTGCGTTGGGCAGCATCTCGGGCCTCCCCTCCACACGCCCCAGTGTGCCTGGACACACACATGGTCTGCCAGGCCCTCTTGCTAGGGGCTCCTGGGCTGGAGGGAGGGCCAGTGAGGCCGCTAGGGCTGGGGGCATTGCAAGCAGCTTTGGCAAAGGCTCTGGCCTCAGCGGCTTTCCATCCGGTAGGAGTTCCCCAGAAGAAGGTAGAGCAGGGCATCGCGTGCTGAGAACTGTGTAAGGCAGACGGGGGAGGGAAGGGTGGGGGCACTTGTCCCAGAAATGCCAGAGCAGAGGGCAGCCTGGGCCACCAAGGAGGCTTCCCAGAGAGCCGTCAGAGGCCCAAGTGAGGTGGCAGCAGGAGGGCAGGCACACAAGGGCAGTCCCAGCACACCTGTAGCTGCTAAGGCCGCAGTAGCAGCTTGAGTGCCTGCAGAGCCCAACAGGTCCCGCCGGCATGTGAGACTCCAGGGCATGGTGGGGGGTGTGGGGAACTGGACCAGGGACAGCTACTTGACTGTGGCCAGGCGGCGGGGGTGCCAGCTCAGTGCCCCCAGTTGCAACTGACTTTTCAAAAGCGGCTGGAAACCCAGACTGTTACACGAGATACTGGTTTCTAGTTCACTGAAAATCTGAAACCAAAAACAAAATCCCACTACAGGCAAGTTGATCAGGCACAGGCAGCTGTGGCCCTGGGGCCTCGGTTCAGGCTCCTCTCTTGCCCCCTATGACCCTCACTTCTCTAGGTGTCCTGGCCTCAGTTTCCCCTTTGGATTTACTCAGCCCTACTTCCATCTGGCCTGGGCGAAGGCAGGAGGTGCAAAGGGAAGAGCTGCCTACGGGCGAGGGGGCAGGGCTGGGTCCCTCGGAGGGCTCCCTGGAGGAGGAAGTGTTGCAGGGGCCCATTGAGAAAGCTCCGAGCGGGCCTCCTTGCAGCCTGCACCCCCACACACCTCCTGGCCGTTGCTTCACTGTGTGTGAGCAACGGACCTCCACCCGGGCAAGGCCTCCCCAGAAGGGGAACTCCTCCCCCACCCCCGCAGGTCCCTCACCCAACCTTCCATCCGCCTGCCGTCCCCACCAGCTACTTCCTCCTCCCCCTCCTCCCAGCCACATCAAGGCAGCAGCAAAGAGTCACATGCAAATATCCTGTCCTGGAACTGCCACCCAGTCTGTGTGGGGCTCCTCTGAACCCTGTCCTGGGCCTCTGGGCGCCTGGGAAAGGAGTGGGGCTTTATGCCCCTACCACCACCATGAGGTATCACTTCGTGGGCTCTGCCAGACTGGGGCCATGCTCATGAGCCAAGTGCGGAATGGGTTTGTCCAAGATCCCCGACTCAGAGGTGACAAGGCAAGATTCAGAGCCGGCTCCCGGTGACCACCAGCCAAGCTCCACTGCTACGCAGCCCGTGCCTGGCATCCTTTGAGATGCCAACTGTACCCATACACCACGGGCTCCCACACAACTCAAGACCTCGGCTCACTTCCCCAGCCCCACGCCATCTGCCAGCTCAGCAAACGAGTCTGACGCAGGTGGTCCAGGGGTCCCGAGGGTTCAGGGCTCCCTGACAATCAGGATTTCCTTTCGTCTTCATGTCCTGGCCCCAGCCACTCCACAAAAAGGAGCGCTTGAGATTCAGAGAGCAGACACCTGGCTAAAGCCACGCAGGTGGCTTAGGGGCCAAGGTCAGGGTCAGGGTCAGGAAAGAGCATCCGTTAGGCTCATCGTGCCCTGCGCCTTCCTCACAGCCCCACAAACTTGTCCATAGGTGTGCAGAGCGTCTGGCCAGGAGAGGCAGCGTGCCCACGGCAGCCCTGAGGCCTGAACTGGCTACAGCCCTGGGCAGGGAGGCCTGGCCGGGCTCTCCCCCACCCCTCCTCCCTGGCCGGCTGGATGACGAGGCAGAACAGAATGGGCAGATGCCCCCAGAGGCTGAGAGGAAGGCCCAGCCCCTGGGCTGGATAAGAGACGGGAGATAAGTCAGGCTGCAGGGCATGAGGCACTCAGCCTGCGTGCCTACTTCCAGGCAGCGCCTCCCCAGGGGAACCGGGACTGGGCAGGCACAGGGCACCAGGTGCTGCACCGGCTGGGGGCTCCTCCACCCTTCCTGGGCGTCTGGGTCCCAGGCCTGGGGGAACCACAAGCTTGCAGTGTGACCTGCGCCAGTCCTTGGTCTGGGCCTCAGTTTCCCATTTGCAAAATGGGGCAGAAAAGTGAAGCAGGTGAGTCTTTGAGCCCAGAAGCCCAGCCAAGAGTGGAAAAACCCCTGTCATGATGTCCCCACCTCTTAGGGTGCCCCCAAAGAAGGGACTTGTTCCCTGCTGCTTTCCCAGCACCCTGGACAGGGTGGGGCACTGGGTAGGTGTCTAGTGATGATGTTACTGCAGTGGACAGTAGCAGGGCAGGGCAGACCAACCACAAGGCAGTGAGAACCAGGTCTGTGTCCTCCAGGGCCCTCACACAGCAGGTGCCTGACGCCATGTGGGGTGGGAGCCATGAGGAGCCACACATACACACACACACTCAGTCCACCCCTCCAGCACCCTCAGCTAGGCGCGTGCACTAGTGGGCAGCCCGGCCTGCATAGCTTCTATGGAACGCTGGCCACTTTGCCCCTCTAGACCGTGGGCTTCCTGAGGGCAAAAATCCCGACCCATTAACCCCTGTCCTCGGCTCCCCCAGGCTCCGAGCAAGTGGCAGCGTGCTGTCAGCTTATGTGACCAGGAGTTTCCCCAAGTCGGGTGGGCAGTGCCACGCAGGGGCTCCGTTCATTCATTCTCCAGCCTCTACAGAACACCAACTTTGCGTCGGTCCAGGAGCTGCAGGCCTGGGGCACGTGGGGTATCCTCTGGCCTCTCACCTGGAGGAGGCCTGAGACGCTCCTCTGGGGCGCAGGGCCCACCCTTCCCTCTTCCGTCCCCTCTGCTTCCCTCATCCTCACCCCCTCCCCCGCCGCGAGGGCGGCGGCCTGACCCCCGCCCCTTCCTGGGCCCGGCTCTCCAGGGCAGGTGCGGAGGAGGGCGACGGGCCGGAAGGGCTCGGGTCTGCACCGGGCTCGCGGCCCCAGGGAATCTGGCGGCCAGAGCGCCCTGCCGAGCCCGGAGGCCGCGCGCCCGCTCTCCCAGCACCCGGGCCCGGTCGCGCCCGCCCGGCTGCCTCACCTTCCCGGGCCTTGAGGAGCACGGTGTTCGCTACGATGTTCTCGAGCTCCATGGGCTGCGGCGCCGCCGGGCCCGCCGGGCCGCGACGCCGGCCGGGATCGCGCGCTAGAGCCGGGGCCGGAGGGCGATCGGCGCGGCTGGGCTCGGCTCGCAGTGACCGCGCCGCGGCCTCCCGGGCCTCCCCGGCCGCCGCCGCCCGCCGCGCACTCTCCGCCCCCCCCCGGGGCCACCCGGGCGCCGGCCCGCCCCGCCCCGCCCTCTGTTTACTTTACCCGACCAATAGCCAGGCGGACGCTCCCCGCGCCGCCTTCTCATTCGTCTGCCTCTTCATCCTCCCCCGCCCCCCGAGCCAGGGATTCGCCCAAAGAAGCGTGAGGGCGGGACTAAATACGTCATCTCTTCCTGGTTGGTCTGGGGGCGGAGTTAGGCCCCCAGGTTCGAATTTGTAGGCCTTCGTAGGATACAGAACTGCCAATTAGGGCCGAGCCCTCGGAGGAGGGTCCCCCTGGGTCACGCCCAGGAAATCGGATGTGTGATTGGGCGAAGGAAGCGTCGGTCGTCTCAAAACTGCATTCTTATTGGGCCTTCAGCTGGGGGTGTGGCCCGGTGGCTGGCTCGCGGACGGCTTTTCTAGGGTTTTGTTGGTACGCGCTCCGTGCCCTGTGGCCTCTAGTGGGCAGGCCGCAAGCTTGTTTGGGCCGTGTGCCCGGCCGGCCCATCCTGGAGGGCGCATGTCGGAAGCCCGGAGAGACCAGGAGCCGGCGGCCTCCCCAGCGGTCCCCGGGGCCTCGCGTCCGGCCCCCGCGGCCGGATGTTGTGATTTCCCTCCACCCACAGGGCCGCGCCCGCCCTGGGCCTCTGCGGCCTTATAAGGCAGTGCTACCACCCCTAGACTTGGGTGAGCTCACGCCCATTGTACAGGTGGGGAGCCGAGGCGCCCGACGTAGTGTGAGCTGGCTGCAGGCCCAAAGCCAGGGCGAAAGCACCTCCCAGCCCCGCAACCCGCTTCCTGCACCCCCACTTCACACGGCAGGAAACGGAGGCTGGCCCAAAGGCAGCCGGTGCTGCACCGCCCAAGTCTACCCTGGCCATTACCGCGTCCGAAGACGCTCAGCTCAGAGCCGGGTGCTGGAGAACAGAGACCGAACTCCTGCTTCCACGCTAGCAGCGGGGCGGGGCTGGGGCTGAGTGCACGGACGGAAGGTGCCCCGTGACACTGAGGGGGCCTGGTTTCAACAGACCCGGCGGGCGCGAATGCCTCCAGCAAGTCTGGTGCATTCCAGGGACAGGAAGCAGGCTGCAGTTTCGGAGCCAGCTGGTCTGAGAGAGAAGCAGGGCGCTGGCCAGATCGCTCGCTTTCCTAAGTGAAATGTGAAGACTGAAAGCATGATTTATACTTAAAAAAAAAAAAAAAAAAAAATCGCTCTGGTGGGTGGATTCTTGGAGGCAGAGAGTGGAAGCCAAGAGAGCAGTTTAGGGCCTGCACTTCGGCGTAGCGGGTTAAAGCCCCAGCCTGCAATGCCAGAATCCCACATAGGCAACTGTTGGAGTACCGGCTGCTCCACTTCCGAAATAGTTCCCTGCTAATGCGCCTGGGGAAGCCGCGGAAGATGGCCCAAGTGCGGATGCCCTCTGCACCCACGTGGGAGACCTGGAGAAAGCTGCTGGCTCCTGGCTTTGGCCTGGCTCAGCCATGGTCTTTGCAGCCATTTGGGGAGTGAAGGAGAGGATGGAAGATCCATCTCTCTGTAACTCTGCCTCTCAAATAAATAAACAAGTCTTAGAGAGGGGAGAGAGAAAGCACAGTTTGGAGGCTGCAGATCTCCAGGAGAGTGGATTAACAAGGTGGCAGTGGAGATGGAGCAGAGCACCTGGACCTAAGACACATTTGGGAGTTATACCTTGAAGGGCCAGCATTTGGCTGCTTGGGATACCTGCAGCCCATATGAGAGTGCCGGGGTTCAAGCCCTGGCTCTGCTCCCAATTTCAGCTTCCTGCTAATGTGCACCTTGGGAAGTGACAGATGCTGGCCGAGGGACTTGGGACTCTGACACCTGCATGGGAGACCCGGATTTAGTTCTCGGCTCTTGACTCCTGCCTGGATCAGTCTCGGCTCTGGCTGTGGCAGGCATCTGGGGAGTGAACCAGTAGATGGGAGATAGCTCTCTTCCATGCTCTCTTTCCCAAAACAAAACAAACAACAACAACAAACACCTACCTGGAAAGAGGGACCCTCAGTAGCCAGGGAGACAAAGGACCCACTGAGGGAGACTTGAGTGTAGAGGGGGGATTTGCAGGTTTCAAGCTTGCTGTAGAGGGCATTCAAGAGCCTTCAGGACAAAAGACTGCCGCATGGCCAAAGGTCAGCACTGCAGGCCAGGACGGCAGGTCGCAGTTTAAAGGTGCACCTGAGCCGAGACTCAAACCCACCGCACCTGCTGTGGCACAGTGGGTTAGGCTCCCATTTGGGACACCCACAGCCCATGTTGGAGTGTCGGTTGGAGTCTTGGCTACTCTGCTTCGAATCCAGCTTCCTGCTAATGTGCTGGGAGACAGCAGGTGATGATCCTAGTATTAGGTACCTGCCACCCATGTGGGAGACCCAGATGGAGGTCTAGGCTCCTAGCTTTGGCCATTGTGGACATTTGGGGAGTGACCAGCAAACGGAAGATCTCTCTCTCTCTGTCTCTCTCTCCTTTGTCACTCTGCCTTTTAAATAAGTAAATATTTTTAAGTGAGAATACAGCCCACAGTGGAAATTATAGTGGGAAATACTTTTTAAATTCTTATTCTTTTTTTTTTTTTTTGACAGGCAGAGTGGACAGTGAGAGAGAGAGACAGAGAGAAAGGTCTTCCCTTGCCGTTGGTTCACCCTCCAATGGCCGCCACGGCTGGTGCACTGCGGCCAACGCACCTCACTGATCCGATGGCAGGAGCCAGGCACTTATCCTGGTCTCCCATGGGGTGCAGGGCCCAAGCACTTGGGCCATCCTCCACTGCACTCCCTGGCCACAGCAGAGAGCTGGCCTGGAAGAGGGGCAACTGGGAGAGAATCCGGTGCCCTGACCGGGACTAGAACCCGGTGTGCCGGTGCCGCAAGGCGGAGGATTAGCCTAGTGAGCCACGGCGCCGGCCTAAATTCTTCTTTTTTAAAATTATTCATTTATTTGCGAGGCAGAGTTACATACAGAGCAAGAGAGAGACAGACAGAAAGGCCTTCCATCTGCTGGTTCACTCCCCAGTTGGCCACAACGGCCAGTGCTGCGCTGATCCGAAGCCAGGAGCCATGGGCCATCTTTTACTGCTTTCCCAGGCTATAGCAGAGAGTGGATCAGAAGTGGTGCAGCTGAGACTCAAACTGGTGCCCATACGGGATGCTGGCACTGCAGGGAGAAAGAGGCTTAGCCTACTGTGCTACAGTGCCATCCCCCAGGAAAATACTTTTAAAAAATAAAGGTGCGCATGAAGGTGGGTGTGGGGGCGAGGAATAAAGCTGAGACCTTAGCAGGGGTCCAGCTCAGGGAAGTCCTTGGAAGCCAGGTAAGGAGTTTTATTTGCTTGTTTTTGAGAGGCTAAGATAGTGAGAGAGACAACCAGACAGAGCTTCTCTCTACTGGTTCACTCCTCAGATACTTGCAACTGCTGAGGCTGGGCTGGACTGAATCCAGGAGCCTGGAACTCAGCCAAGGCCTCCCACACGCGTGGCTGGCAAGCAACTGACTGCCTGAAGCATCTCCTGCTCTCCCCTAAGGTGCCATCAGGAGGGAGCCAGCTCCAGAGAGAGGAACTGGGACTCAAATTCAGGCACCCACCAGCAGCCTCTGGAGCAAACGCACCCCCGGGCTTCTATTTTGAGTTCCCAGGGAGTCGTGGTTGTTTTAAAATGTATGTGCAGGACCAGCGCTGTGGTGTAGTGGGTAAAGCTACCGCCTGTGGTACCAGCATCCCATATTGATGGCAGTTTGAGACCCAGCTGCTGCTCTTCCGATCCAGCTCTCTGCTGTGGCCTGGGAAAGCAGCAGAAGATGACTCAAGTGCTTGGGCCCCTGCACCCACCTGGGTGATCCAGAAGAAGCTCCTGGCTCCTGGCTTTGGATCATCCTAGCTCCAGTCATTGTGACCATTTGGGGAGTGAACCAGCAAATAGAAGATGTCTCTCTCTCTCTCTCTCTCTCTCTCTCTCTCTGCCTTTCAAATAAATCTTTAAAAAAAAAATAAAATGTATGTGCAATGATCTTCAAATAAATATTTTTAAAGATTTATTTATTTTAATTTTATTTAAAAGGCAGTGTGTGTGTGAGAGAGAACTTCCATCCACCAATTTACTCCCCAATTGACCACAACCAGTGGGGCTGAGCCAGGCCAAAGCCAGGAGCTAGGAACTTCATCTGAGTAGATCCCCATGGATGGCAGGGACCCCTGCACTTGGGCCATCTTCCACTGCTTTCCCAGGCACATTAGCAGGAAGCTGGATCAGAAGCAGAGTATGTGGGGCTTGAACCGGCACTCTGATAGAGGCTACCAGCATTGCAAGCAGTAGCCTCGCCTGCTATACCACAACACCAGCCCCAGTGGAGAAGGTTCTGGACTGAGGGGCAGTGAGGTCAGTTTTGCTTTCACGAAGGGCTCTAGGCTGCAGTGGAGGCTGGGCTAGGGGGTGAGAACAGGGGCTGACTTGCAGACACGCATTCCTTTGGTGCTCAGCATTTAAACATTGCTCTTTGGGAGGAATTGCGTAGGAGACGGGGAGGCAGGCACTGCCTTCCAGGAGGAAATCAAAGACAAGAGGCAGAAGTTCTTCTCCCAGGCCCCTGGCAGCTGGAGCAGGTTTCCAACCAGTCTTGGAATGCAGGCAAGGGATCAACACAAGACATCCCAGGGCCAAGGAGAACTCATCGTGGAGGGGGGAAAGGGGTCAGCCCGTGAAGCCGGGGCTCTACCTGGAGGGGAGGGGCTTCAGCTTACTCTCCAGGAGCCATCCAATTGGCTCCTTGCTGCTGGACTTAGAATTGGCTTGGTTTGTGGGTGAGTACCCCGACTAAGAGATGGGACAGACTTTAGAAGGAGCCATTAGAGCTAGGGATGACGGTGCCCTGTGCTGTGGTAGCGACCAGGGTGTGCGGAGAAGTGACAGACTGAGAGTTCCCACGCAGCTGGGATGCACTGGACTTGCCAGTTAACAAGGGGTGAAGAGAAGAGAGCATTCAGG